CAAAGAAATCCACAGCCTGACACACCATAGTCAAATGGTGTCTTTAAAAAAACTGAAGTTGGGAGGAGGGTATAGCTCAGTGGTACAGTGTGTGCTTAGTATGCAGAAGGTTCTGGGTTCAAGCCCCAGTACCTCCATTAAATAAATAAATAAAACCTAATTACTGCCCCCCCAAAATAAAAAATTTTAAAAAACTTAAGTCAAAGAAAAAATATTGAAAGCAGCAAGAGAGAAGCAATACCTTAACTGTAGGGAAAACCAATTTAAACAGTGGATTTTGCATTAGAAACCATGAGAGTAGAGGGAAGTGATTGTCATGTTTCAAGTGCTGAAAGAAAAGAACTGTCAATTCAGAATTCTGTTTCTAGCAAAAATATCTTTCAGGAGAAGGAAGGGGAAATCAAGACATTCTCAGGTGAAGGAAAACTAAGAAAATTTATTGCTAGCAGACCTATCCTAAAAGAATGGCTAAAGGAATTTCCCAAAACAGAAAAAAAAAAATTTAAAGAAGGAATCTTGGAACATTAGGAATGAAGAAATAACATGTTTACTTTCTTCTTGAGTTTTCTGAATCATGCTTGATGACTGAAGCAAAAATTGTAACATGGCCTGATGCAATTCTCAATTACTCAGAGGAAATATTTAAGGCAATTGTGTTACCAATAAGAGAAGGTTAAAGGACATAAAGGGAAAACCACGTAATCATGTCAGTCAATGCAGAAAAAAATATTTGACAAAATTCAACATCCATTTATGATTTTTTAAAAAAATTTGCAGAAAGCTAGGAATAAAGGGGAAATTCCTCAACTTGATAAAGAATATGTGCAGAACACCTGCAGCTAACATTATACTTAATGGTAAAAAGTTGAATGCTTTCTCTCTAAGACTGAGAATACTCTTACTCAACACAGTACTGGAAGTTCTTTCTAGTGCAATAAGGCATGAAAAGTAAGTAAAAGGCATACAGATTGGAAAAGAAGAAATAACTATACCTATTTGCAGATGACATGATTGTCTATGTAGAAAAATCTAAGAAATCTACACTTCCAAAATGCCTTGACCTAATAAACGAATTCAGTATGGTCTCAGGACACAAGATTAAAATACAAAACTCAATATAAACTTCTACAAACTAGCAAAGAACAGTTGGACAATAAAACTCAAAATATAATACCATTTATACTCAAAAAAGTGAATGAGTCATAAATCTAACAAAATATCTACAGGACTTCCATGCTGAAAACCACAAAATGCCAATAAAAGAAATAAAAGAAAGTCTAAATAAGTGGAGAGATATACCATGTTCATGGTAAAGATGTTGATTCTCTTCAAGTTGGTGGAGAGGTTTAATGTAATTCCCATTAAAATCTCAGCAACATTTCTCATAGGTTTAGACAAGATTATTATAAAACTTCTTAGGGAAGGCAAAGGAACTAGAATAGCTAAAATCATTTTGAGAAAGAAGAATAAAGTGGGAGGAATTAGTCTACCCAATTTCAAAACTTATTATGTTTCTACAGTAACCCAGACTGTGTGTTATTGGTAGAGGGATGGGCACACAGATCGATGGAACAGAATAAAGAAATAGACCCACACAAATACGCTCAGTTGATTTTTGACAAAGGTGCAGATTCATTCAGAGGAGCAGGCAATAGTTTTTTCAGCAAATGGTGCTGGAAATATTGGCTATTCATAGACCAAAAAAAAAATCAATCTTGATCTAAACTCCTTACCGTATATAAAAATTAACTCAAAATGGATCATGGACCTCAATATAAAATATAAAACTGTAAAATTTTTAGGAAAAAAGTCTTTGGGGATTAAGAGCTGGCAAAGAGTTCTTAGACTTGACATCAAAAGCATAAAAGGAAAAATGATAGAATAGATTTGCTCTGTGAAAAAACCTTGGTAAGAGGTTGAAAAGGTAAGCTGTGGGCTGGGAAGAAACTATTGTAAACCTCATATTTGACAAGGGACTAGCATCTAGGATATATAAAACCATGCAAAACTCAACAGTAAACAATGACAACAGCAAAACAGTCCAGTTAGAAAGTGGGCAAAAAGCATGAACAGGCATTTTACCAAAGAGGATATGCAGATGGCAAATAAGCAAACGAAAAGATGTTCAACAGCATTGGGGAAATGCAAGTGAAAGCCACCAAGAGAGAGTTCTACGTGTCTATCAGAATAGCTAAAATTAATAAGCAGGGGGCTGGCCAGGATGAGAGCCGCTCATTCACTGCTCTAGGAATCCTGTTCAGTAATATAAAGGAACGAACTGTTGATACACACAACTTGAATGAATCTCCAGAGAATTATGCTGAGCAAAAAAAGCCTATCCCAAACATACGCGCTGTGCGGCTCCATTTATATAATGTTCTTGAAGTGACAAGATGATGGAAATGAAGAACTGATTGGTGGCTGCCAGAGGTTGGGAGGGATGTGGCTATAAAACGGCAACAGGAGGGATCATTGTGGTGACAGATGGAAACGTCATGTATCTTGATTGTGTCAGCAGTGTCGATATCCTGGTTGTGAACTATATTCACGAGATGTCACCATCTGGCGAAACTGGGTAAAGAGTACATGGGATCTCTGAATTATTTCTTGTCACTGCATGTGAATTTATAATGATCTCAAAATAAAACGTTTAGTTCAAAAAACAAACAGAATAATAAATCATAGTGGGAAAGATACAAGAAAATTACAGGGTGTTATGAAGACTCTGGTGAAATTAAACAAGGGTATGTGATAGGGAGTGATGTTCCCCCATGGTTGGATAATCAGAGCTGGGAGATAGACCTGATCATAGTTAAGATCCTTGGTTGTAAAGACTAGAAAAATCCCTTCAAAACTAACTTATGCAAAAGAAGGGAATTTATAGAAAGTAATTGTGTAAGAACTTTTGTTGCTAATGACAGAAACCTAATTCAAACTGGCTCAAGGGAAAAAAAATTTAAAAAAAAAAGGAATTTGGGTTCCCATCATTAAAAGTCCAGGGATAATGGCTTCAGCTGAGAGATCTAACTCCTTTTGGTGGCTTTGGTCTTTTTTTAAGTCAGGTTCATTCTCAGGCTAGGGAGGGTGGCAGGATGGGCTGCAGCAGCTCCTGGTTCAAATCCTGGCACCCCAGAAAAAAGATGAGCTCTGTTTTCCAAAGCTTTAGCAAAAGCCTGGGACTGAGTCTCAGTATCCTGACTTGGGTGTCACATGCCCACCCCTGAACCAGAGGGAAGTGACACCATCATTAGCCAGGTCTAGGTCGTGTGCACACCCCTAAAGTTTAGGGGAGAGGCCAGGTCTACACAAACCACATGGCTGAAAAGGAGGGATGAGAAGTGGTCCCTTTACAGAATAGATGCTGGGAAAGCCAAACCAACAGACATAGACTCATGGAATCCCAGAATAAGACTGCTTCTTTATTCTCCATCCTCAAGTTCTGAATTTCCCTCACTCTAGTTCAAACAGATATCCTAGACTGAGCTAGAATCTTCAGCTTCATTGCTCAGAAGAGAGAGTATCTGATTGGACCAGCTTTGGCCAGATGTTCAGCCCTCCTCCAATCACCTCTGGGCCCTTGGGTGGACAGGGCCAGGCTGACACCCCATGGCTGTCTATTATAGATACTCAGAGTCTAGGGGTCTAAACTAGCTCGTTGTAAAAGAACAGGGGAATCTATGAATGGGTTTAGTGATAGATAGGGATAGATATGATGATGATGGGGGTCCCTGGGAGAAAGGCTGAATCCTCAGATTTCCCCTTGCTTTCCTTCTGGGTGCTCTGAGGCCGACAAAGAGAAGAGCGGTGGGCATGGGAGGTGGGCTGCAGGGTCGCTGATGTTGGGAGACCCAGTGGGAAGCTAGTGGAAGCGAGGTTTGGAGGGTTGACAGTGCAGGGTTGACAACAAAACTGAGCCCTTGATGTGGAGAAAACAAGTTATCAAGGCAGAGACTAGGGAACAGAGACCCAGGAGCCAGACCAGATATGACTGGAGCAAGGCAGGTACCCTACTCCTGGTTCTAAATGTTACCGCACAGTCTTGATCAGAGGAATCCGGCAGGAGGCCATTTCTAGAATGGGCACCGGGTCATAGGAGACCAGCATCCTGCCCACCAATCTCCTAGCTCCATGGGACCCTTCCTTTCTTTCCTGACGTGGATAGAACAGATTCCCTAGTTCTAGCTGGCTCAACATACACCGCAGGTGAGGGCTGCCAAGAGTCCCCAGCTGTGCACAGAGGAAGTGTGAGCTAAGAGCTTTGATCTAACAGAGAAGGAGCTTGGAAACCAAGTCAGGTAGCAGTGGGTAGTAAGAATGTTGACAATAGTGATGATGGTAACGAGAACAAACCTTTCTTGGGTGCGGACTACATGCCAGGCACTGTTCTGAGATGTTTTTATTGGATCATCTCCTTTAATCCTTGCAGCAAGGATTGTGACAAGGTGCTGTGTGAGGCAGAGAGGTGAGGGCACCTTTGCCCGGGTCACTCATGAACAAGGGTAATTTAACTCTCGTGGAAAAGCCCAGCTACTTGGGTACCTGTCCCCCATCTACTGCTCCATCATCAACTCCCACTAATCTCCTCATGCCCCCTCATCCAGCCCCCTAAACCTCCTAAGGTTTGTGGAATGCTTCCTACGGCCCCCTGTCTCTATGCCTTGGCACAGGCTCATTCCTCCTCCTGGAATGCCCTTTTCCCTGGCAAACTCTCACTCATCCTCCAAGACCCAGTGCAAACATTGTTGCATTCTGATAACTTGCCCTAATACCAACCTGTGGATGGGATGACTTATTCTCTGCCTACCTCCCAATAATGAACTCTGCCGTGCCTGCATCACAGTGTACAGATAATGCTGTCTCCCAGAGCCGACATGGGCGGGGCAGGGACCAAGCCCTACTCTTCTCTACAGTAGCACCCGCTCAGGTCTGGATGTCTGATGGGTGTGGTTTTCTGTCCCCTGCCCACCCTCACCATGGCACCTCTCCTCGTCTCTTGGCAGCCTGGCGTGGGGCTCCTTTACCTGCTGCATGGCAGCCTCTGTCACCACGCTCAACTCCTACACCAAGACGGTCATTGAGTTCCGGCACAAGCGCAAGGTCTTTGAGCAGGGCTACCGGGAGGAGCCGACCTTCATAGACCCTGAGGCCATCAAGTACTTCCGGGAGAGGTCAGTGCACTCGGGGTCACCTCTGGCCACCACCGGGAATCAGAAGCCCAAGGCCTGGCCTCAGTGGCCACAGGGCTGACCGAAATGTTCTGGGAGGTGGTGGGGTGGAAGGGGCAGGCTGGGTGAGGCAGAGTTTGGACCCTACTATGTTGGAATTTCTGTGACATTTTAATGTTTTATGAGGCATGAGGTTGCCTTGGGTTTATCTGTTCAGAGCCTGAGAAACCAAGAAGGGAATCAACTTTGAGTGTTGGCCATTTGCCTCCATGCTTCTTAGAACCAATATAGGGCCATAGGAGGCTGAACCAAGGTTTCCTTCTCTAGCTCTGTCACAGCACTGAGTTAAGAAAAAGGACTTAGCAGTGGGATTGGTGATGGTTGCTAAAAGGGGAGGACTCCTCATGAGTCAGGGACTGTACCTGACCTTAGAGTCCTTAGAGTCCAGCTGGGAATAGAGGAGGAGGCAATAAATGGTGGGTCATGTATGGATGGATGGATGGATGGTTGGGTGGAAGGATGGATAGATGTATGTATGCATATATGTATAATGTGTGTATATATGGTTGGGTGGGTGGGTGGATGTATGGATATATGGATGGTTGGATGGATGGATGGATGGATGCTGGCCAACTGGATGGGTGGGAGATGGATGAGTGGAAGGACAGCCAGATGGTTATCATTATTTCCTGGGACCACCTCCTAAATAAACTACATGCTCCTAAATCTTTGCCACAGACTCTGTTTTGGGGGTAGCTGACTAGACATGCAATAATGCCTTTCAGTGGCAGGGAACTAAAAGGTTCTAAGAACTGATGACAGAACCTGAGGAAGAAAAAGGGGAAGGAGGCTGTGGAGCTGAGCAGCATTAAGGAATTGAACTCTCTGTGGGGCATGTGGAAGGGTTTCAAGGCAAGGGTTGCATGGTGAGGGATAGTGGGGGCCACCCTGGGACCTCTCTCTGACTGCTGCAGACCCCATCATCTCTCCTTTGCCATATGACTCTCCCTTCTGTCTCTTGAACACAGCAAGCTCATCCCCACCTCTGGGCCTTTGCACCTCCTGTGCCCCTGCCTGGTATACTCACCTGGCTGGCTCACTACGGTCTCAGCTCAGATGTCACCTGCTCAGTGAGAACTTCCTTAATCACTTGGTCTAAATTACACAACCTCATTCATCCTGTCCTAGCCATTCTTCATCCTATTGCTGTTTTTTCATTGCACCTGCACCACCTGAAATTATTCTGTTTATCTGTTTGGTAGTTTGTAGACTGGGGCTCTGCTGATAGAGCGCTCTGCTGTCTTTCTCCCCACTCTATTTTGAGCACCTGAGACTCGGCTAGGCACCTAATAGGTACTCATTAAACATTCTGAGGAGTTAGTTTAGGGGGTATGTGTGTGTGTGAGATTGGCTGAATTCTTCTCTTTGGGGACCTCAGCCCTGACTACCTCATGCCCTTTCAGCTCAAGCTCCATCAGCATCAGGCAGATTCGGCGTCCCAGCGTCCCTGCACCAAAGTCCCAGGTCAGGTCAGCTGTGGCCAGGGAGGTTAGGCTAACGGAGGTCGCCCACGGCTGCAGCCAGAGCGTATTCGCTAGGAAGGTGGCGTGACTGGCACAGCACGGGACCCAGAGCAGGCGCTCAGGAAATCTTGAAAGCAGCCTGACGTCTAAAACCGCCCCATTAGCACTGCATCAGCTGTCACTTCGGCTGTGAGAGAGCCTGGGGCGTCCACGGGTACCCTTGTTTTGCTGAGGCGGAAGGCAAGACCTCTTCGTACCTTGGCAGCAAGAAGCTGCTGTTTGCTGCTGGCTAACAGCTCAGGCCCCAGTGACGTGGGAGAAGATAAATGCTTTCCAGCATATGTGCGGAATATCACTTTACACGTTCATAACTTGAACATTATGCAGAGGTTCATCAAATTTTATTTCCTTTCCTCTCCAAGGAGAACATTTCAGCTGGGCTGGTTTTTTTTTTTTTTTTTTTTTGGTACCTTCCCTACAAAGAGCTCAGAGCACACGGACACACGTTTGCACAGGTCTGCAGCGGCCAAAAGTCCCCAGAATTATAGCCAGGGACTCGAGGAAAGAGATTCTTGACCCCACTTGCCCACATTTCCTGCTCCTTGGAGAACGGGACTGCTGTGGAAAGAATATGAGTTTAGGGCGTCCCCTGAACTGAATTTTCCAGCTTTGTCACCTAACTGCTGTGTGACTTGGGGCAAGTCACTGAGCCTCTCTGGGCTGGGTTCCTCTGACCTACAGTAGGAGAACCGAGAGCTCTCAGCATCCTGGCTCAAATTTGATAACCCAGGTAACATGGTGAGCACAGTGGGAGCGCATGGAGGGCATTGTGTGTGTGTGTGTGTGTGTGTGTGTGACTTCTTGTCCCTCCCGCTACTGATGTGAAGTATAAAGCTTGGTAATAATTAAGTTAGGATGGAGACAGAGGCAGTATTTTACAAATTAATAATCTAATAATCATATTAATAACCACAACAAATGGGTGGGTGAGGTGGGAGGCAGGTTGTGAATTCAGAAGAGGGGTATAGGATAAGACAGGCCCTGGGAGAGGGTGTGTGGTCTCCTGGGTGCCCCCCGCTATTCCTACCAGTGGGAGAGGCACCCCTGACTGAGGTCAAGATGATGTCCTGTGGGGGCTGATGGAGCAGGAGGGGCCTGTACTGCCTCCCCACCTCCTCCCTCCTGCCTGGTCCTGTTGGATTTTTCTCTGCAGGAGCCGATTATGGGTCTGGGGAATGATGGGGCAGAGTCTGAACCGTTTTCAGGGCTTTTGAAATATGGTGTGTGGAAGAAAGCCATGGATGTGTGTGCATTTATTTGTGTGCATGTGTGTGTGTGTAGGGGTCAGTGTGCTTCCGTGTTGGGTTTGTGGGGGAGGGAGAGCCTGCACACCCTGACTCCCAGCAGCCTCGCCTGTCCCAGCTCTGAGTCTCTGGAATTAAACCCTCCCAGACTCACCCTGCCTGTCATCCCCAAGGAGGTTGTCTTAATCGGGCCTCCCAGGGGAGGGGCGGAAGCTGCCAGATGAAAGGTAAACATTTGCAGATCGGGGCTTTCTTGAATGCTTGATGTTCAGATCTGGTTTAACAACGTGCAGAAGGAAATGAGACCCTGTTGATTGGACTCGAGGGGGAAGTCAGCCGACTGAGCAAACATCCCGCCTCCCTCTGGAAAGCCACAGTGGGCGGTGGGGACAAAAGGCTGGGAGGAGGCAGCTCTTCCCCCAGGATCAGATCACCCCGTCACATCCCCTTGCTCCGACTACCAGTCTGCGAACTTGTTCTTTCGCTACTCACGTCTGTCTGTCGGCTCTATCCAGAGCACGCGCACACCTCCAGATCAGGGCGTGCTTTCTTGGCTTCTGCTTTGTCCCTGGCACCTAGACCCTTTGGGGCTCAACAAGTTATTAACCGTCTGTAATCATTATACTGTTAATTATAGTTGTGCAGTACCTCCTGTTGCAGGCGCTTTTCGAGGGCCTTGCCTGTGCGCTCTCACATAATCCCATGGAAGACAGGAGGAAATAGACCAGGGCTGGAATTAACTGCAGTTTTTAGCTGTGAGTCCCCAGCAAAATACCCTGGGGGCTGCGATCGGGTCTCCTGGAGGTGACTCCAGGTGAAGGGAGGGCTGAGCACCACCCCGTGGGAGGCAGAGGCTAGAAAAGCCTGCACAGATGAGACCCCCAAGCCAGGTTTTTAAAGGCACACACAGCGCTCCAGGCCAGATGGGTGGTGGGTGGCAGAAGGCGTTCTCAGGCACAGGCAACCGTGTGAGCAAAGGCCAGGATGGTCGGCAAACAAGGGTCTTTAAGAAAATCTAGGCAGTTTGAGGAGATTTGAGAATAGGGTGAGGGTGGGAGTTGGGCCTGGGTCTCTCACTTCTCTCATCCAAGCCTCCTTCCTGGGTAAGGACTCACAGGGCGCTGAGCAGATACAGAGCAGCCAGACCCCCACCTGGGGGAGATCGCTGTGCACGTACATTGTTCCTGCGCAGTGGAGGGCCCCCTCTTTCCCTATCCCCGCGACTGGTGCCGGGAGGGACGCGAGGACCCCGCTCCCCGCCAGCTCTGCTCTCTCTCCTGTCTGTTGTAGGGAAACTTTTGGAAGGGCTGGTCTCCACCTCCTCACCGCCCACTCACGGCTCCTCCCAGTGCCATCTGCCATCCACCCTCTACTCCCCCAACAACTCCCAGCTGCCCGGGGGATGAGTGATGGGCACATACCCTCCCCCTGGGTTCCCACCAGCCACTCCTCTGGGCTGTGTGAGCCCCCCTCCCACCCCTCCTCTCTGTTCTGTGAAATGGTGATGCTCCCAAGGTCAGTTCTAGGCCCTCTTGACATTAGCCTCAGTGGGCACACATGTACCAGGACTCCCGCATTCTTACTCCCTCCACAGTCCCACCCCATATCCAGCTGCCTCTTTGTTGTTTCCACTCTGGATTCTCAAAGGTATCAAAATTCAACATGGCCAGGACCTACTCCCGGGGCTTCCCCAAACCCAGTTCTATTTCCGCGGATCTCTCCAGGGTGGACCTGCCTATGCAAGCAGACATCTGTGAGTCTTACCCCCATGTCTGGTCACCCCAGGACCAGTGCATTTCCCCTCTGGGTGGGTCACTTCTCTCCATCTTCACTCCCATCATCCTGGAGAGTCCAGGGCTGCGCCCATTCTCACCTCCTGCTTGGAGGTGAGATGTAAATCCCACATCCTACTTTGCCCCTTGCACCTGTCCTCCCCTGACAGCCAGTGCCTCTTCACTGTGCTTGTGTGATCAGGGTACTGCGATTCTCACCTTTCTGCTGAAACACTACAGCTCCAGGGCAAAGGTCCAGAACCCTGGGCACCACCCCCTGCACACAGCCTCCACCCCACCAGGTGGGTCATTCTTTGGTCTCCACATAGCCTCAGAACAACTGTCCTCTCTACCTGAGGGTGACAGAGAGCAGAAAAGAAGGGGCCTCATGGGGTGGGGGTATAGCTCAGTGGAAGAGCATGTGCTTAGTATGCACCAAGGCCTGGGTTCAATCCTGGGTGTGTCCAGTCTGACTCTGAACAGCACGGCCCCTCAGGTGTGCCCACCTCTGTGACTGCTCACTGCTCTCTCTCCTGTAGCCAAGGCTGGGCTGAAGATGTGACTTTTGAGATAAACCACATCTAGAGGTTTTCATGTTGTCAGGGGTACCTAGGAGCTATTGAAGGCGAGGATGGGGAGTTGGAGTGGGGGCTCCACTCATGTTAGTGATTGTTTTTTCCAAGTCACAATTTCTAGCCTGTGCAGTTCCAAAAATAATCTCAAGGTGCTAATATTTAGAGATCTCTTTTTAAAACCCAGTATCAGAGAAATGGGAGGTAGCGCTCTCAACCACACACAGAGATCTGGGGAGGGCGACGGCACTCGGGCTATTTTCTTCCCTGTATTTTCCAAATGTTTTGAATCATGATGATCTTACTCATAAAATGAGAGAAGGGGAAAAAACCTTTCAAAAAACCCATTTATTTCCCCCTGTCTTGGAGTGGCACTTCTGATGGGGTGCTGTAGAATTTTAATCTCCTACCTGGGATCATTTATTTGCCAGATTTCCTTTTAATTCCACCCTTCATTCCACCATCAATGCATCATTTAAAAATCATTGTGTTCTTTGTCCTCGGTGACTGTTTCTTAGCTTTTTAACCTCTGAGACGTATTCAATCACACGCTCCTTCTTACCTGTCATTTGCACTCTTGCTGCTTGAATATTACTTCTCCGCGATGCCTCGCACTTGATGGCTTTTTATTGGGGTCCTTTGACATCACTGTTTCGTCTGGAGAGGAATGCGGGGCCCAGGAATTAGAGACGGCGCTGTGGAAATTTCGGGGCCCTTGCTGGGTCCCCAAGGTTAGCTCACCCACCAACGCGATTTGAAAGGAAAGCAAAAAGCACAGAGTGGCCCTGGAGGTGGAAACATCAAGGTAGCGGGAACTTCTGGCAGGACAGCCGCTCCCCAACCTCCACGTTCATCCAAATAGCAGCGGGCTGGAGGGAAATGAGAGGCTACGGTCAGCTCTTTGGTGATGCCTCTTTGCATCTAGGACTGTGGGGAGGATACTGGAGGCCGGGGTACACTGGACGACAGCCCAGGACATGGAGGGCAACTGGGCTCATGCCTAGCGGAACCTCACAAGTGCCCAAAGCCCAGGGTCCAATACTTGGTTCTTCAAATGCGATTTGGGGCCCAACAGCATTGGCCCCCACCCCAGGAACTTGTTAGAATGCAGACTCCTAGACGTACTGAATCAGAATCTGCATTTTAACAAGCTTCTCTCATGATCTGTGGGCATTGGTACATTTGGGAAGGGTCAGACTGGAAGACAGAGCAGATGCAGTCCTGGTCAGGAGGTGGCTGTGGGTCAGCAGAGACTGGTGGATAAAGAAGGGATTCATCGCCTCGGTGCTACTCAAAGTGTGGTCCCCGAACCAGGGCCCGTTTGCAAACATTGTGATGATTTAAGGAGAGAAACTGAGACGTGTGTTTGGAAAACTTCACAGTGAGTTGCTCTTGTTGGTACCCAAGCTTGCCTTCTGTGTGTGGCTTTTTCCATTTCATTTTCTAGCAACTCATTTTTGTTGTATTTTATTAAAAAATTGGTCCAAGGGAGATTGAAAATCAAGGTGGAAAAAACCTAGCCCTTTATCAGTTGGTTTGAGAAGCACACTGCGTAGGCTGCCGCTTTCCACCAGGGGTGGCTGGAGATTTCGGAACCAGAAGCTAGCCTGGGGCAGCGAGAGAGGGGCAGGCTTTGAGGAGGGCACAGAGAGGGTCGCAGCGAGTGGAGAGTGTGCTGGGAGCACTGTGCTGGGGAGGCCTCGGGCTCCTGTCGCAGCAGAGGGAGGACCCAGTGGACCCCTGCCAGTGGTGGCCACAGGCAGGTATCGGTGGGGGCGGTTTCCTGATGAGGCAAGACACGTGGGTTCTATTCTACCTTCAAACTGCCAAGTCCTTGGCGCCTCCCTGCTCCTGTCACTTGCCTGCATATTCTCTTCTCTCAAAAAAATAGCAAATACCCAGCTTCAACCCCATCCCAGATGCTGTGGGTCATTGGGGCAATGACTGTGTGACAGCGCGGTCACCCCCATACTGCCGTCTGCACACCTGCTGGCAGTTCTGGGAGAGCCAGTGCCCAGCCCCACTTCCCATTGGGCCCTCACAGCACAGGTGTACCCAGAGTGGGTCTGATGGAAAATCCCCTGCCAGCCAGGAACCTGCAGGGCACCCTGGAAACAGGCTCCAGCTCCAGGGACTGCTAAACCTGAGTTCAAGTCCCAGCTGTGCCACCGGCCAGCCAGCTGCTGGGGTGGAGAGGGCCCCAGGAGAGCAAAGTGTAGGGCTGTCTTCCTGGCTCCACGTTCCATGACGTCCAGTGACGTCGCATGTTCAGTGATGTCCAGAGGTGTTTGACACTTTGCAGCCTCTTCTCGGCTTCAGAGCAGCCATGCTGGGAGTATTCACCCCACAGACGTCCACGAACACTGCAAAGCACAGCTCTTTCTGTTAGAGAGCCGGTTGTTAATATTTACCAGCACATCAGCAAAACCTTGGAAAAGTTACAAGTCTGTCTCAGCTTCAGTTTTCACAGCTGTAAGTTGGGAAGGGTGGCAATGATGATGACGATGCCGGTAACTCTGTGGTCGGAATACAGGTTTGAATAGGTGGAGACGGACCCCAAATAACAAGAATTTAAATGATGAACAAGTTTATTTCTCTCTCACTTGGAAGTCTGAGCAGGTACCTCTGTTTCTGTCACATTTCCTGGGGGCTCACTCCCTCTTCCAGAAACCACAGCGTCGGCTCACTCAGCCTCTGTGCTGACTCTTTGTCCTCAGTTTGGGGAGGGGCAGAAGGCTGTGCTGTGACCCCCTGTGGTTCCTTCTGCCCTGAATCCAGAGGCGTTTGGTACTTTGAAGCCTTTTCTCTACTGATTTCAAAACATCCCTTTTCTAAGGCAACAAAGAATTCAGATCTAAATGATGGAATGAAGGAAGGGGTGTAGGGGGCAGGGTGGGGAAGGAGCTTTGGTTAGTATGTTAAAATAACATCCTTCCACGTTAGGAATTGGGAGGTGGAGTCACAGAGTGACGGACCACATAGGCCCCCAGCCATGAGGATGCTGACGATGGTAATAACAATGATGACTCTAACAAGTGCAAGCCATCCTGAAAGGATGCCAAACAGACTGAGCGAAAGCATCTATAAATTCAGATGAGGACTTGGGGGTGCCTTCAGTGTTCTTTACGATGCACAGTAATGATTGGGTTTGTTTCTACTTTGGGGACTGGATTATGTTTCTCTAAAGCTGAGGTACATGTCGACTGGACTGCCTGGAACTCTGGAGTACATTTAGGTTACAAATGGACGTGTGCACCGTGGGAACATGACCCTGCCCATTCTCTGGCCCAATTGATGCGATGGCGGTGAGGGTCTAGGTCCGGAGCCGTGTTGGGAAGTCTGCAGCTGCCTCCGCTCTGACCCTGGGCAGCCTCTGCTCTGGGCTTGGCAGCCGTCTCCAGCCACACCAGCAGAGGCAGCTGCCTCCAGAACTGCAGTGATCTTGAGTTGCCAGAGGAGAAGGGAGCAACACTGGGAAATCCTCACAGTTGCTGGTGGGAAAGAGCCCTGGGCCAGAGGTCAGAAGACCAGGGCGTTGTTTCTATGTAGAACTGCCTCTAAGAAGTGTTTTAATTTAGTTTAAAAAAGGTGGTGCAGCTGATAGAGTCCTTTGCCCCAAAGTCAGAAAGTAGAGGCAGGTTCAAAAAGGAGGCTCCAGATTTAGTCCCCTATTTTCACGTTATCTAGGGTTAATCACCATTACCTTTTGGTAGATATCTTGCCAAGTAATGTTTTGTGCATATCAGTGTGTAATTTTTAAAAACAAATCGAACCGTACCCCTTCTTTTGTAATACACCATTTGCACATGATTGAACATCTTTTTGTGAGAGCACATGGGTTTGCTCATCAGAGGCATCTGCGTCTGATTCGTTAGCTGCCCGGCACCTGATTGGTCACAGCACTTTCCAATACCTGTTTCTTCATCCGTTACAGATTCCCTCTCTCAGGTGGCTGGTAAGAACCCCCTGGGGCAGTGGTGCCAAATTGCTTTGCAAAATGTTCTCCGGAGGGGAGAGGTACCCTTTTCCAAGTCCTGGGTCTCTGCCAGCTCAGCCTGCTCTTTCTTACACTGGCTTTTGGGTTCTCTTCTTTCCAGGATGGAGAAAGGGGATGGGAACGAGGAGGAGGACCTTCGCCTGGACTGCCGCCACGGGAGGTACCCTGCCCGTAAGTGGCCTCAGCCACAGGGGTCTGTGCTGCAGAGGCAATGGGCTGACAGAGAAGAGAGGACGCTGGAGATGCGCCAGGCCAGCCTCTCCCTGCACCCCTGCATTCTCCCCGAGACGCACAGTATGGAGGGCCAATCTGAGGCTGCAGTCTTAGCGGAGCAAGTCTTTTGCACGCAGCAGCTACAGCCCTTGCGATGGGGGTCAGAGTTCTAAGAAAGCAAGAGGGACATGGGGGTGCCTTAAAGTCAGGCAGGCGAACCACAGCTCAATCCCGGTCTGGTTTAGCCATTGGCCTGAAGGGAGAACGGCTCCAGGACAGAACTAGCCAAGATTGTTTGCACGGTGGGTACTCCTGGCAGCTTAGAATGCACTGACTTCATATGTCTCACTGTGGGAGACAGAATCTAGGGCACCCATTAAGAAAACAAATGTCTGGACCAGAAAGCAAAGGGGAGGTCAAAGAAGAAGAGGGCCTTGTTCCAGACAGAAAAGGAAGGAGCTGATACAAGATGAAAGTTAAAATGGCAGAATCTCAGCCGAGCCTGCTCCCTGCCCACCCTGCTCCGTACTGAGGCTCTTTATGCCTGATCTCGTGTTCTTGCTCACCTCCAACCCCTAGAACTGGGATTACTATTCACACTTTGCAGATAAGGAAATGAAGGCTCAGAGAGGTGGAGCAATTTGCCTAAGGTCACACAGCTTAGCTAGTCAGTGGCAGAGCTGTTACAGCAGACGTTGTCAGTACCCTGCCCGTTGTCAGTACGCTGCCCGTATCTCTCAGACTTTTTAGGAAACTCCAGTGCCTTCCAGCTGCCAGTATCTGCATCTCTGTCCCTGGGGGCTTCCCCTACCTCCACCCATAGGAGGTGGAAGTACTAAGGAAATGCATATAGATGCCCTAGCTCACTTGCCCCTTGAGTGGGATTCCCTGAGGTGAGGGATTTGCAGGATTAGCCAGGTGTTATGAGGTTTAGCAGCCACCTGGGTTCACAGCCTTCTCTTCCCTGGGCCATGTTCCCCTCTTCCCAGTTCCTCTGTAGTGTCTCCCCTTCTCTCCGATTCCTACCTCAGGGTCTGCTTCTGGGGAACCTGAACTAAAACAGCAGAGATTTAAACACACTATCTGACCCCAACCCCTAGGAGTGAGAAATGGCTCTGCTAGGAGGGAGAAGACAGAGGAGGGTGAAGGAGCTTGGGAGGGGGCCCGGCTGGAGAGGAGGAGCAAGTCCTGTCTTCAGTCAGAGGGAAGAGGCTCCTGTAGCAGCCCAGAAAGAAGGCCAAAACACTAACTGCCTGCCCGAGGAGTAAGAGTGGACACTGGGCTCACATATTGTGGGTTCATGCCAGGTGTCAGGGAAGGAGGGCTTCCTGGAGGAAGGGGTCAGGAACCAGGGCATGGAGGTGGCTGGGGAGTGCCTGCCTCAGAGATACAGAGGAGAGCAGGAATCCACCAGAGGGGCTCAGGAAGCACATGGTAGGGATACAAACTGAGAGCCCTGGCATGTTCCAGAGCGCCACCAGGCCCCCCTACTTGGGCCTGAGTCCCCTGCAGAGTGGATGAGAAATCCTCGGTGGGAAGAGATCGTGGGGGCCGCTGGGGAGTTGAGAAGAGGAAAGAGCAGATCTCTGAGGCCTGAGAATGGGAGAAAGAGTGGAGTCGGAGCGAGTCTGACCCTGAAAGCGAGCCCTGGGGTGGAGAATGAGGACACTCAGGGTTGGGGAGCCGCAGAAGCCCTCTCCGCACAGCGCCATTCCTCAGCTCTGCTCTGGCGCCCACTTCACCTCCCAAGCAGCATTTCTTCACAAGAGAAACATCAGATGCGGTCCTAGGTCAGCAGCCTGCGGAGAATTCCATCTTTCATGCCCTCGACAAATACTGAGCGGTGCAGACCCTCTGTGCTGGCCCCATGCGAGGCGCTGGAGACGCAGCCAGGAGCTGCAGCAGACAGAGGTCGCTGCCTTGTGGGGCGGGGAGCCGGGAGAGAGGATCAAGTAAGAAATGAACTCAGAACCAAATGAGATGACCTCAAGTCATACCACAAGAACGTGTGATGTTAAAGAGGGAACGGGAGAGGCTCCCTTAGAGCTGCCTCTTTGAGGAGCCCCTGCGGCCGGGGCTGAGGAGTGAGAAATCAGCTAAGCAAAGAGCCTTCCAGGCAGAGGGGCCTGCAAAGCAGGAACAGCCAGCACTGGAGGCCGGTGTGGCTGGACTGGAGCAGGGAGAGCAATGGGGGCGGGGAGGAGATGGGACTTGGGGGCGCAGGAGGCAGGACCATGGGGAGGAGCCGGCTCTGAGGCGGGGAGCCCGGGGAAGAGACATAGCAGATTATTTATCTGAATCTACATAGCTACATCGTCTTCATCTACATCCATCTCTCTCGGTGCCTCCTTCCACCCCATCTGCAATGTGAGAAAAGGATGAGAGTGCAGGAAGACTGGAGGCCAGCAGACCACCTTTGATGCTGTCACTGTCATCCTCGGGAGTGACGGACGGTGGCCTGACCTGCAGCAACAGAGATGAGGGTTGGCGGATTCAAGAACTTTTTGCTGGGAGAATTGTCAGAGTGCTTTGTTTGTATTTCTCCAGAAGCAGATCCTGAGATAAGAATTCTACAGCAAGTCCCTTATTTGGGTGACCTCAGAAAATGCAAATAGGTGCCAGGGAGGCAGACTGAAGCAGGGAAGGGCAGGCAGCATGGCTGAGCCGGGTATCACTGTAGGCCCGGCTGGGGGACTTGGGGGCCAGTGCAGAGCACACGTGTCTGAGTTATCCTTCCAGACGTGGTAGTAATTCTCCTTGGGTGTCGCTGGAGGGCTGCTGGGGTGGGGTGGGGAACATGAACTCTCCTTGGGAGGGGGTAGAAAGCCCTGGCACTAGGGAGGGGGAGGTCAGCAGTGCGCTCCTCTGGGCAGAGGGGTGGTGCCCACCCCAGCTTGTCTGATTCAAGGTGAGGGGTGGGGGCAGCCAGCAACCTAGGATGCTCACGGAAGTTTAGAGCCAGCAGTCCAGGGCCAGTTGTCACCCACTGATGGACACGGAGAGGAGTAGTTTGTGGGGCGTCATGATGTTGCATCTGTGTTGAATCTGAGGGACGTGTAGGGTTGAGAGCGGAGCTAGTTGAAGCTGGAGGGCTGCTGAGGCCATTGAGGGAGATTGTGGGAGGAGGTGGAGAAATGGGGCCACGAGGTCCTGACAGCCCGAGGCTCAAAGAGAAACATGGAAGCCGGTGGGGAAGGTGTTGTGGCTCCAGAGGTTTTCCAAACCCCAGCTTCTCAGGGAAGGAAGGAACCTCAAATCCCATGGCACCTCTTCCAGGTGTGCCTTTCATCAGGTAGCCGAGCTGTGGGGCGCTGTCTTTCCCCGGGGCCAGCAGAGGTGCTGCAAACTCGGTTAAAACAATGAGGATGAGAAAGACCCTATCTGCGGTCGGAGCTGAGGGGGGAGGCGTCCGCGTGTGGGCTGGATGCCGGCTTGAGTGCTCCACTCACTTTCATTGTCCTAAAGTGGGCTGTGTCTGTGGCCACATGAAAGCCATTCATTCATTCGTTTATTCAACGAATCTTTGCTAAAGGTGCTTCTCTGGGCTGGGCCTCCTGCGGGCTCTGAAACATGGAGGGGAATAAGGCAAACTCTGGACCGGGGAGCTCCCAAGCCACTGCTGTATCGTTGGCCAGAGCTATCATGGGGTCCATGCTGGCCAGAGGCCTGGTGCCTCCCCAGCTCGGGTGAGGGTGGGGTGTGGAGAAGGAGGGGTGCTTGGCCCCGGGTGGTCTAGCTTGGTAGAATTCTACAGCTGTAATGATGATACCTGGAGTTGATTAGGAAAATAACCAACCAGAAGAGCTCAGTCTGATGATAACAGTTCACCCTTGTGTATGTTCTGAGGGCTTTACATTTATCCTCTCATTTAATCCCAAACATAGCCCCATTTTACAGACAGGGAAACTGAGGCCCAGGGAGGTTATGGCTGTGCCAGGAAGTGGATGTACACCCAGCCCATCTGGTTCCAGAGCCCAGATTCCGAGGCACTAGGGTGAGCTGCCTCTTGTCAGTCAGTGGCTCCACGTGCCAGGCACACCCCATCTGCCAGACCTTCGGCAGTGTTTGGGGAAGAGGGACCCAGCCACAGGTGGACTGGGTTCTCACATTGCTCATGGACTAGAAAGCAGCCTGATCAGACCGTCCAGGGAAAGGACACCATCTCCAGAATGCAGCCTCTTCGCTGCGAGTGGCGTTTTGGCCAAGAAAATATTTTGGAAATGCCTGGATGAGTTCTGCAATTTTTCTGCACTGAGCAGCCACTCAGATCTTGCGGTGGCCTGACTTGCCAGCAAGCGGGATGGGAGAGGAGGGATGCCAGGGAGCCCGCATTATTAAACACTTGCTGTGTGCAGGTCCCTGCTTTGTAGCCTTCTCATCTGCTGGTTGGCGCAGTCCTGGCAAGGAGGGGTGATTATTTTTATTGTGCACGTGGAGAAACTAAGGCTCCTAGAAGCAGATTGACTTTGTTCTCTGGTCCCCTGGGCAGTACAGATCAGCTTGGCGTGTAGGTTCCCTTACCCTGGGAGCCAAGCTGTTCCTACTCGGGGCCCCCAAACTCCCCACCCCGTCTCCTCCCACTCTCCTCTCTCTCATTCTGCTCCAGCCACCCTGGTCTTTCTCTTCCTTGAACATGCATAACTCATTCCTCCCACAGGACCTTTGCACATGCTATCCTTTCTGCCCAGAATGCTCTCCCTCTTAATCTTTGCATAGCTGGCTTGGACTCATCTTTCATCTCAGCGGAGGACAACTTTCTCAGAGAAGCCCCGCTGACTTGCACCAGCTTCCCAGTCACCTTCATATCACCATGGTTTTTTCTTTTTCTTTTTTTTTTTTCCCTTCAAAGCATCTGTCCCTCTCTGGAATTACCTTTTATACTTAGGTACCTGGTTTTTGTTGTGTTGCCTCTCTCTGCTGCATTCCGTGAGAATAGGCACCCTGTCTTCTTTTGCTCACACCTGTATCCTGAGAGTCTAGAGTAGTGTGTGGCACCCCGTAGGTGCTCAATTGATGCTCTAAACCGCTCATTTTCTACCATATCCCACCTGAGAAGCCACTTTTACATAAACAGGTATATGAACTTTTGGATTATCTTAACCACTCCAAAAGCTGCTATTTTCTCTTAGGCTACTGTGATATGGATTCTGCCACAATTTTTTTTTTTCCTGAGGAGAGTTTTCTTTTGAAACCTGCCTTAGAGGTTTTGCCATGCCACCAGCTAGCTTGGGAGCACGTCAGATGTGACATTTGATGGAAGCGATACTGCCATATGGTCCAGGTGTCTGCATCTTCCTTTTAGGGGCAACTGGGGTTTGCAGCTGATTGCAGCTGTCAAGTTCAATGCCCGAGACAAGCTTTTGATTTTGCCAGGTGTAGCTGTCAGGCTGGGCCGGGTGAGAGGCTGTCACTCGCTGGATACAGAGGTGGCTTCTGGGAGCTCCATCTAGACGAGTCTTTGCCGCTACTGCCCTCAAAATAGCAGAGGGAATTTCAAGGAAGACTTTTCTGGGCTCACAGCAACTTGGCACTTTTATTAGATCAAAATCAAATCCAATATAGTACTGCTTGAGTCTGCTTCCTTTATTAAAAAGGAAACAGACAATATTTCTGAAATAAATACCAATGCCAACTGCCTGGGCAAACAGACAGCCATGCAATTTGGAGGTATCTGAGGCCCTGGCACTGAGGGCAGAGAGATCCAGGACAGCGTCAGCATCAGAATCCTCTGGAGGGCTCCTTAAAATATGCGTTGCCCGGCCCCACCCCTCAGTTTCTGCCAGTGGAGGTCGGGGGACGGAACCTGGGACTCTGCATTTTCCGTGATGCTGCTTCTGCTGCTCCACAGACCAAATTCTGAGTGGTCCTTGGCCCTGGGCTGCTGCCAGGAGCTAGTCTGCATTTTGTCACCTGCTTGGGCTATTCAGCGGCTTCTGGGTGGAAATTGCTGTTTCTGGGGCTGACCCCCATTCCAGTCCATTGTCCTAGGACACAGACTTGATCATGTCTTCTCCAGCCCCTCCCAGCCCCAGCCCACCTGGCTGTCAGTTCTTGTGCCGACGCCTTTTGGACATTCCCAAGGGGGCCTTCTCGCACCATCCTGTCCCTGCTTCATTTTTCTTTCAGTGACGCATCACTCTGGGAACCCTCCGTTGCTAACTCTCTCCCCACTGGAGTGGGGATGTCACAAGGACAGTAAGTTCAGGTGGCAGCCCCCGTGCCTAGCGGAGTCGGTCAGTCGGTCATCAGTACGGCTCCATGAATGGTGGAGCTCCCTTAGTCCTCACAGGGTGGTGGCTCTGAGGGCTATTTCCATTTTACAGGTGAAGTTCCTTGGAGTTCCAAACATCAAAATCATTTTTCTTGGGTTACAAGCCTGGGTGACCCAAGCTCAACCTGTGTCATCATTCTTTATGCCCATTTTTGCCCAAGGCAGTGCTCTTCCAATCACCCTTGAGCCTAAGTAACACTTGGGGGGCAGGTATTAAAATACAGATTTCCCCGGAGCTTCCGATTCCTTGGTTTGGGGCAGGCGGGGCGGGAATCAGCCTCAGGTAGGTCTGATGATGCGGCAGAAACCCCAGGTGCAGGATGAATCCTCTTACACCTGGCACCTGGCACCTTGCACCTTCTGCACCTGCAGCCCTCCACTCCCCACTCCTCCAGCCCCGTGTGCCCTGCTCTCCAGCCACACGGACTATCCTGCTTTCCTGCAGCCACCAACGTGGCTAGGTTTTTCACACCTCCTGAGAACCCCATTTACCTGCCAAGAACCTATTTCACACCCTGTTCCCTCTGCCTGAAATGACCTGCTCCCTGCCTCCGTTTGGCAAAAAAAAAAGTAATCAAATGAGAAGTGGGGAGACTCACAGCCAGAGGACAGCAGGGAAGGACACTCTAACTGAGGGACCACAATGTGCAAAGCCACGGAGAACAGAGGGGCCACAATGTGTGAAGCCATGGAGAATGGAGCCGAGGGACAGAGACGCAGGCCGGAAAGCAGTCAGAAGTCAGAAGTGGCCTCCCGCGGGCTGGGTCTAGCCTGAGAGAAGCTGCTTGGCCCACAGATGGTTTTAAATGTTTTTAAAAGCCTTAGTTGTTATCATTTAAAAGCCAGGAGATTTGATTTTGAAATTCCAGTTTTCAGTTTCAGAATCAGTTTCAGACAGTTGGCAAGAGCTGGGGGAAAGGCTGCTTCTGGCCGCTTCACCCATTTTTTGTCATTTGCTTGGGCCCAGGGGGCATTTTGAGGTAGGATTCCGTGATCTGTAATGATCTATAGCATGAGGCCTTTTTTTTTTCCCCTGACTGGTGACCAGACCCAAAGTAAAGCAACCAGGAGAAGGAAAATGAGTAGGGAGTCTTGGGGTGATGGGCTGCATGCTGAGAACAGCTCCCACTACTGTAAATGCTCTTGGCCCCAAGCCATTCCCAGTGGTTAGTGAACTGGTCTCTGGATCCAGGGGACAAAGAACCGGATTTTGACTCAAAGAAGGGTAAGGATCACGGCTCCTCTTTTTCCTTAAAAATACATGATCATTTTCTCTCTGTTCCTCTGAACTCTCCAAGGTTCTGACTGTTGGCAACGGTAAGAGCAGCTACAGTCATTTCTAAATACTCATTTAGAAAAACAATCAAGGCTTCCCGTGCACCAAATATTTGCTTTTAGATTAAAAAAAAAAATGCCAACACCTATATCTTGGCAGCAAGCACTTCCAAAGAATGCAACTGTTTCAGTGACTGGGGCCAAAACAAATGTTTTTCCTGAGTCCAAACGATTCCAGAATGTTTGCCAAATGTTTCCCACCCCTTTTTAAAAATATAGTAAAATTAGTAAAGCGCTAACATTAAAAAATATTAAAAATAAAGAAAAGCCAAAGCCAAAAAAAATCACGTGTGCATACTCCCACCATTGGCACAACCATCCTCATCTTTGCCTGTTCCCTTCCACTCTTTGTTATGAGGAAGAATCTCCTAACAGTCAGAGCTGCTTTTGGGGTGGAGGAAGACTAATGAGCTGTCTGTCCTTGGAGGGATGCAAGCAGGAGTTTGGCTTCAGCAGGAATTCCCACCTCAAGGGGCTTGCTCTTGAAGGATGTTGGACCCTAAAGGATGACAAGTATGTCTGAGCATCCTTCAGAGCCGGGAGTGAGAAACAAAACCACACAGAACAAATTTCTTTTAATGCTGATGTTTGGAATCAGGGAAAAATGAACTCAACCCAGTGGCACTGGAGCTGTGAATCCTAAAGCAGCTGCTTCTCCTGGCTGAGTCTCAGTTTCCTCAGCTGTAAAATGGGTGGTAGCTCCCTCAGGCTTTCGAGGACAGAACCTCATAGGGTGTGGAGACTAAGCGCTTTGTCACCGTTAGTTTTCTCCCTCCCCCTACACGCCCGTCCTTCACGCCCGTCCTGTCCGCCATGCCAGCTAGTCTCTCCTCCCTGGGGCCCCTTTGTTCTCATCTTTCCGGCTCCATAGCTGCCGTGGGACATTCTCCAAGGGGTGGGCTCACGGTCTAATGGGGGTGGAACACCACTCGAGGTCGGTGTTCCAAGATAGGGAGACCTCTGAGGGCTAGGAGGAGGGTGCCCGAGGGCCTTCCTGTAGGAGGGGGAACCTGAGCTGAGCTGGGGGAGGGGTGGCCTGAGCTGGGCTTTGAGGGTTCAGTGGGACAGTAGGTAGAAGGACATTTTAGGCAGGTCCCAGCTTGGAGATGGCAGTGGGGTTGGCATGTTAGAAAGACACAAAAGAGGCACTTGGGTGAAGGCAGGGGAACAAACTTCTGAGAATCAAGAAAAACACAAAAGAGGGAGCACGTTGCATCAGCCGAGCCTCCCAGCCCCTCCGCGTGCTCAGGCTGTCAAGAGCAGAAGGCCCAGTAGAGTCTGCCCCCTGCCTCGGCCCCGCGAGCTGCTCAGGGGCAGCTTTGGGACGTCTGCAGTCCGCACATTCGCTTGCTGGCCTGGGGTCACATAAGGTTACATAAGGAGTTGTCGACACTTCTGCAGCTAACCCTTCCCCAGCTCCTTGAGCAAGTCGGGGCACACGATGGAGTCCAGGGAAGCTTGACGTGGTGGGTGGGTAGATGGGGGGGCCGGGGGGAGGTGAAGGGGAGATGGAAAGTGAGCAAGTGGGTGTCCTGAGCGGGTGGACGGCTTAAGTGGGATGGGTGAACGCGAGGGCAGGGGGGCTGCAGGGTTGGTGGCGGTGCAGAGGGCTTTGTTGGATGGGTGGGTTGGTGAGTTACGGGGCAGAAAGATGGAGGGATGGAGGTTTGTGAGTTAGACGGTGTGTCTGCAGGTTGGGAAGCAGACGAATAGGTGGTAAGTTGGAGAGAAGGCGGGTGGGTGGATAGGTGGATATTTCTGGTTGACGGGTAGATGTGTATGTGGGCAGCTGGGCCAGTGGGAGTGTTGTGGGTGGAGGGAGGATGGGTGGGACAATGGTGGGTGTGTGGTGTGTCGACAGATGGGAGGTGCTTGAGTGGGTTTTAGGGCTGCGGGCGGGTTGTGGTGGGGCAGACTCTGTGAGTGAGTGGGTATATTGGGTTGGCAAGTGGATGACAGTGGATATTGGCAGATGGAGGTCCGGGTGTTGGTAGACTGGTAGGGGACAGGGGCATCACAGAGGTGGAGAGCTGTATGTGCAGGTGAATGGATGATGAGATGGTGAGTGGAACGGGGCAGAGAGCTGGACGTGGGTTGGTAGATGGGTGGGTAGGAGTGTGAGAGGGAAGGTGGAGAACTTTGCAGGTGGGTGGAGGGTGAGCAGGTTGGATGGCAGGCAGATGGGGTGTGGGTGGAGGAAGGCAGCTGTCAACACAGACACCCCTGTCTCCTGGCAGGACACCAGCCACATATGGGAGATTCCTGGCCCCGGAGCTCTGCACAGGAGGCCCCAGAGCTGAACCGCCAGTGCTGGGTCCTGGGGCACTGGGTGTGATAGTGACCCAGCCTGACTCCAGACCCCAAGCCGTCATCGGCACCAGCCCCCTGCCACAAGACCACTGGTCTGGTGTCTTCAGAAACCCGGCCTGTGTGCTGTGAACTCAGCCAGCCTGCGTGGGAGACACGTGGCCTGCCCTGCCCATCGCTGCCTGAGTCTCAGGGTCCTGGAATTGGGGCCAGGGTGGCCCGAGGGATCGCACAGGGCTGCACAGTGTGACTTTGGGACAGCAACTCCTAACTCCTGCCACCGTCACATGCAAAACCCTGCTGGGTGCAGCTGGGATGCAGGGGGAAGACATGGACATCAGCCGCTGAAAGCCTGGGACCCATGAGCCAGCCAGAAAGTTCAGGAGGTCCCCAGCCTGCAGAGCCCTGTGGGGGGCAGGGGCGGGGGAATGGGCGGGGCTTCCTGCAGGGGGTCACACAGCAGGCACACAGCAGGGGCGCAATAAATGCTTGTTGAACCTGTTTTCTTGCTGTGTGTAGAGGCCAGTTGCTCTCTGGGCTGTGGCTTCCTCCTCATGGCCCCCCCCATACCAGGTCCTCAAGGAGCCTGCAGGTGAGACAGCTCAGAGTGTGCAGGGCTCAAGGCCAGACACTGAAGTCCAGGAGGGGGGATGGAGGGAACCTGGAGCCGAGGCTGTGTCTGGGGACGGGCTGGGTCAAGATAGAGCCTGGCTGACAAGCTGCCTTGACTTCCAGAGGGCGGACAAGGTGGGGGCCCAGGCAGGCAAGAGACAGGTCCTCAAACCCAGGCCCTAAGCCACCCAGACCCCGTGGGGACCCTTTACCCTAGAGCCACATTTATATCAAATCTTAGGGCTTAGATGCCTGGGGAAACAGATTACTATCATGAAGATGAAGGAACTTAGGGTCAGAGAGATGAAGGAACTTACCCGAGATCACAGAGCTAGCAGCAGGCAGAGTTGGGGGTTTGAACCAGGACCTCTGACTCTAAGAAGCCTTATCCTTTCCCAGAGGGATTTCTAGAGTTTTCCCCCAAGTAGAGAATGTCCTTCATTTTTTCCATAAACACACCATCCATCATCCATCCATTCATCCATCCATCACCCATCCATCATCCATTCGCTCATCTATCCATCATCCATCCTTCCATCATCCATATTCCATCATCCACCCATCAGTCATTATCCTTCCTTGTATCAGACACCCATTCGGATCCTTTCATGCATCACCCATCCTCATTATTCAGCCATCCATCTGTGCCCCCATCTATCCGACGGTATAACTCAGTGTGCCCCTACTATGTGCCGAGCACTGTGGTAGGCCCTCGAGACGGGATACTGAACCCTCCAGAGGGGGTGCCTGTCCTCTCAGAGCTCTCAGGTGGGCAGGACGCGTAACTAGACAGACGATGATAGTAGAACATGCGAAGTACTCTGGGGCCAGGCGGCCTGGGGTCAGATTCTGGCTTCTCTACTTGAGACGTCGGGCAAATTCCCTGACCTCTCTGTGCCTCACCCCCATGGGCGCGTGGGGATCGTCAGTACACCTGCCTCTTACAGCCGTTCTGAGGGTTGAACAGGCTAATGTATGCGAAGCATTGGGAACAGAAAGCCCTGTCAGTGTTTGCTGTCACCTCAGTGAGGGGAGGTGGGCGGGCTGTGGAAGCCCAAAAGCAGCGCTTGCTTTGTGGGGTGGGTCATAGGAGGCTCCTTTGGGAAAAATGACATTTAAGCCAAGACAGAAAGGTTGTCTAGATGTCAGGCAGGCAAGAGGGTAGAGGGGAAGAAAGTTGGGACCATTCGAGGAATTTAAAATGGTCTAGATGGCAGGTGTGGAGAGAAGGGAGGGCAGCAGGGGGTGGTGAGAAGTCAGGCCGCGGAGGTGGCGGAGCCAGAGGGACTTGAAGCTTCCTTGGGAAGCGTAGACTTCATCCCGGGGCTGGTGGCAACCAGGGCTGCTTTCAGCAGAGACTCACCCAGCTATGTATTCCAGGAAGGTCCTTGCAGCTCTGGGCTGAGAACAGATGCAGGGGGACGGCTCCCCTCCTCGTTCTCACCACACTTGAAGGGAGAGAAGAGGGTGGGCTGCTTCAGCACAGTGGCCCTGGGGTGGGACAGTGAGGGCAGATGCAGGAGGGAAAACAGGCTGGTGTGGGACGAGAGAAAAGCTAGCGATGACCCTCAGGTTGTAGGCTGGGGCCTGAAGGAAGGGGTTCAAATGTCTGGAGTCTCAGATGCCCGGGGGATACCCAGGTAGAGGTATGTGTTCATTCGTTCATTCATGCATCTGTTAATAAAGCAGTGATTCGTTCATCCATTTTCCATTCATTCAGTAAATACTGCAGACCTGCTGTGTGGAGCGGGACTCGGCCTGGCAGAGAGACTGGGGCGCAAATAAAGAGGCTTGGAACATCAGGACAAAGAGGTCAGGCTTCGGCCTCTGGGCAAGAAGAAACCAACAGAGACATGAGGCTGGGCAGAGACGTGTCCTATAGGAACCTGGCCCGGGGCGTCTGGGAGCCCTTTCTTCTCACCTAGGATCCTTCTGAAAGTCACCAGTGGACCACAGAGGTCCAAGAGATACACACGGGCAAAATTTTAATCTATTTTAATAGTTGTGTTTATGTAAATGTGTATTAGGAAAAAAATGTATAATGGGCCCATCAGTGCCGTGATTTCACAGGCATTATTGCTTAGGATAAAACCAAAATAGGCATTTAAGTTAAAAGAAAAAGGGTTGGCTTAAAGAAAAATATTAAATAAATAATTGTGAAGTGGTCTGTGATTACGGTATGCGGACGGCTCAAGCAAGGGCCATTTTTACCCTCTGCACAGGACGGGGAGGGACAGGGAGGAGGTAGGAAGCCCACGGGACCGCTCAGGTTTCAAGTCCTCCTGTCCTCTCCTGGGCATCTGATGGGCAGGGGGTGAGAAGTAGCCGTCTTTTGGTCTCACGGAGGCTGCAGCAAGAAGGCTGCTGGTTAGATAAAAGGAAGTACTTTCAGGCAGGCCCAATGGATCCCCACTGAGAGTCACTGGAAGGGTTGTCTTCATTCAGGAAGCAGATGCCACTGTCTGCCTGAACCTGGGAGGAGGAGGATCACCTGGTTTGATAGCAGGGGGCACCTGGGTGAGCACACAGAGGCTTGGATGGGGAGGCAAAGGTCCCCTCCTTCAGCCCCTGCAAACAGCTCCATCCCCTGCTCTGAGCAGACATGTTCTGACCACTGACTGGAATGGCTGTTGGCCTTGACCCCTATGCATTGGCCTGACACACAGCCCAGAGTAGTTGTTACGCAGCCTGTTCTACCCTGGACACTCACACCCAGCATCCCTGTATCCACACACCCAGGGCCTGCGTGCACACGCCAGCCTCGATGCTGTACAAGCTTGGGTTAGCAGTGTGTAGGTGCACGCGTGCTGACCGCGTGTCCTCGGCACCCACCCACGCCTGTGTGCTCCCGCTGGCCCTGGACCTGTGTCTGCACATGCCTGGTGCCCTGAAATGTGGCTCTGCCCTTTTGTTTGCTCACGTCACCCCCTTTCTCCCCAGGTGCCCTTGTGGGTCATGGTCCTTGCCTTGGCTGAGGGCTAAGGGTGGGTCCAGGCCTTAGGAAGTCACCGGGCTGACTTGGGCTGACATCCCTCTTCGGCTGGTGGCTGTGATGAGCCGTCCTCCCCGCTGCCCCCACCAAAGCCAACCCATCCTGGCCACACACTCCCTCGGGTAATGGAAGCGTCAGCTTGATTCATGGCCGTTCGACCGTGGCAGCCAGGCCTGAGGACAAGACACCCTGGGAGGCTCATCTTTGGGAAGAACTGCTGTTGCCACGATGCTGACCCTTTGTTTGGGAGGAAGTGAGGATTGAGGAAAGGCCCTGGGACTGCAGAGTTGGTTCATATCCCAAGACCACTGTGGACCCTTGCCGGGCCTTGTTCATCTGAGAACTATTTCCTGAGGGGCTTCTGTGTGCCAGGCGCTGGGCGTGCACTGGAGCTGCCATGGTGAATAAGAAAGACACTGACATCATCCTCATTGAGAATATATTCCAGTGAGGAGACAGACGACTCAAATAATTGTAACAAAAATATCAGTTTAGATTGTGAGAAGCACTGTGTAAGCGAATGAAGGAAAGACCAGATTGAAACTGGATGAGTGGACCTCTCAGAAGAAGGACCATTGCAGCAGGGACCAAGGGATGAGGAAGGAGGCGGTGAGGTGGTGTGGGCAGAAGTCATGTCATGTGCAAAGGCCCTGGGGTTGACAGGAATGCCTTGTGGTTGTTTGTGGTGCTGGGACAGGACTAAGTACCTGGTGCTCCAGGTTGGGGCATGAGGGCTGCTGCCAAGCAGGCATCTGGGGTCAGAGTGTGGGAGCCCTTGTGGGTTAGGTAAGTATGCCGTTCACCTGGAAGGCCACAGGGAACTGCTGACAGGAGGGTTTTAAGACGTGGATACCGTCAGCTCTGTGCTGAAGCTCACTCAGGCTGGGAGTTGGGGTCCAGGGCAGAGGCAGGGTGACCAGTGAGGGGCTGCTACATTTCCTGGCGGGAGATGGTGAGGGAATGAGGGGGTGAGGGGGACCTGGGCTGGGCTAGCCTTTCTCTGAGGCTCCCATTTGGGCTTTGAGCTGTGTAGGCAGGGATGCTGTAGGCTCCAGGGGCCTTGGTGGAGGTCAGGAAAAGGTGTCCTCTGAGTGGATGGCTTAGAAAAGCTCCCGTCTCCAAACCATAGGAGCCACGGCCCCAGAGCACACAGCCTGGGAGGCCTGGAGGTTAACTCCACTCACCCTCACCCAGGGGCTGTGGGCAGTCAACAAATTACACCGCGCACCTGCAGCCGGACCCAGTGTGGGGCTGGAAGACAAACTCAGCCCAGCTGGGACCATTAGTCACGAAAAACCAATCTCCTCCGCTTGGGGATTTACTGCCTGGGCAGACAGGAAATCACAGCGTGGGACCTCTGCCCTGTGCCCGCGCGGCCCACCCACCTACCCTGGTAATTGCTGCTTCGGCTACATTTCTTCCTGGACTGACACTGTTCGGGCCTCTGCCTTAGAAAAGCTGGGGGAGGGATGGGGGATGGGCAGCTGTCCGTCTGGCCAGGATGTGTGTCGGTAGGGGGAGCCTGGGACTCTGGGGGGAGCGAGAAGGGGCCACTGCCTGGGAGAAGTGCCATGGCATGAGGCCAAGCTCCCTTCCTTGGACCCTCCTGACCCTTCCCTGGAACTTCTAGGGTGAGCGGGTAGGTGTCAGGGTTGGGGATGCAGGCAGGGTGGGTTAATGAGAGGAGGCGAGGGAGGGAGGGCATCAATCACTCTCTAAGGCCAGTGCCTTCTATGGACACACAGCTGAGGCTGGAGGGTGTCTGGAAGTTCAGAAGGGCCGGGCAGAAGGTAGGGTCCTGTTGCTCTGGTGAGGAGCCTCAGCTGGGAGCTGTGCAGGCCTGGGGTCCCATCTCGGCCCTCAGGTCACTCTCTTACTGTGACAGCCTCAGGTTTTACACCTGTAAAATGAGGGCAATCATAGAACCTAACCCGTGTGTCCTCCCTCCTGGGGGATGCTCTAAGGTTGCCCGGAGCAACTCCATGGGGCAGGCACTACTGGCACTCTGTGCCTGGGTAAGGAAGCCAAGGAGGCACAGGGTGTAAGGTCACTTGAGAAGGTTGCACAGCCAGGAGATAGTGGGGCCAGGACTTGAGCCCTGGCCGGGCGGCCCCAGGGCATGTGCTCCCCATCACCAACACGCTGGGAGAAGGGTACCCGCACCTTCAGTGATAAAACCCACAGCTTGGGTGCAGGCTTAGTGTGTATTGGCTGTTACTATTTTTATTATCACTGCCAAAGGCTGCCCCTCCTGCAGGGGCTGTGAGTGGAGCAGTTTCCCAGAGGCTGGGAGCCTGGAAGTGGTGTTGTGAACACCGCAGAGTGGTCCAGGGACCTGTCTGCACCACCAGCCCCACCACACATTGGGATACACCACCCATTGGACAGAGCCCCCGCCTGCCTTCCCGGCCTCCGGCCTGGGCCTGTTGCTTGACTGGATGCCAGAAGCTCAAGTCCCAGGGCCCCGGGAGAGCCCTCTGCCTGCCTAGGGGGCTGTGGCCAGAATCACAGGGGTTTCAGCCCCATCCCTGCTGGGCCCCACAGTGCTGTCATGTGTCCCCTCCTGCTCCTCCACATGAATGATCTGCCTCTGTCTCAGGGGTGCCAACTGAGATGCCCGTAGGACCGTGAAGGCCACGGGAGTGAGGGAAGCAGGCCAAGTGTGAGACCAAAGGGGCCGGCGGGCACTGCAGTGATGAGGAGAGCTCCTGCCCAGGCTCGGGGGCCAGCTCTGGCTTTGGGGACCACCTGGGAATGCGGGCCCAGAGCTGCCAGATTGTCTAATTTTTTCCAGAGAAGCAGGGAATCGCCTGGACCAGTGCAGCCAGCCAACTCCGAGGAGGCTCAGCCTCCAGATTGTGGTCTGCTGTTTTGCTCAGAGGCCAGATGGGGCCTGGAGCCTCAGAAAGGGACCATCCTGGCTCCAGGTAGGATGACGGGTGAGGCCCAGGGAGGGACCCAGGGCATCTCAGCAAATGTGCCCAGGTGTGGAGCCACTGCCGCCTGTGTGTCTGCAGAATCGGCCTTGGCAGGCTCTGTGGGACACTCTGGGTCCTTCTGACGTCGTGGTGCCAATGCTGGCACTGTCTGGAGTCCAACAGACAGACAGAAGCTGGTCCTTCCCACTGCTGATCAGAGAAGGCAAGTCCCCTGGGGGATGGAGGCCTGCGGGGAGGTTCTCCTGGGAGCTTGTGCTGGCTTTTCCTTAACCTACTTGTCAGCTATGGCCAAGATTCATTCCAAGCGGGTCATGCCTGGATGCCAGTGAGCCCCCACACTCCCAACAGCTGCAGTTTGAGGCTGATTTACACCCCCGTGCTTATCGGCTGGGGCTGGGATGCAGGCAACGGGAAGCAGGATGGGGATGGAGAGGACGCCTCTATTCTCCAGGAGAGCTGGGGGTGGGGAATGAAGGGCAGGGCTGAGGGTCCAGTAATGATCCCGCGCCCTCTTTGACCTCCCTGGAGGAGCCAACCCTGGGCATTCACGGAGCCGTAGGTCAAGGACTGCAGCCTTCGGGGTGGCAGGGGTGGGGGACCAGAAGGGAGGGGGTGGATGTTCATGCTGAGCTGGGGTGGGCGCTGGGGTGGCAGGCTGGCTACGTAGGACTTGTAGATTTATTTGGATTTATTTGGCACACTCAGTGTTTGCTTGTTTAAGTCGAGCCAACATTTGAAAGTTAGATTTCACATTAAAAATAAGTAACGCACCTGGGTTCCTGGCTTCTCTTAAAATCCCTAGGTGCTGAGCTGCAGCTGCCCTTAGAAGGGGCTGGTGCTGCCCTGTTGACCAGGTCCTTGAAGGCCAGCTCTGCTCCCTGATGTCACTTGCCTGGCCCCCAAACAACAGGGAGCCAGGTCCAGGGCTCTGGTTGGTGGCCGGAGAGGCTGAGAGACTGGAGCACCACATCCAGCCTCCCAGCCCACAGAGGGAATGAGGGAAGTGCTGGCCCCGAGACACACCCCCACCAACCAGCACCAGGGTGGCTGGCAGAGCAGGGCCCTTCTGTCTTCATAGGAACTCAGAGGGGAGCAGGGGGCAGGGGCGGGCCTGCTAGACGTCCTGCTATTTCCCTACATGCAGGTGGGGCAGGGGCCCTCTCCCCTCTTGCTGGTTCACGGGAGGGAGGCGGGGTCTCCAGGGGGCCCTCATACCCCATGCCAATGAAATTGCTGGCTGAGCTGCAGCCCAGGCCCCCTCCTCTCCCACCTCCTTCAAATGAATCTTCTTTCCCACTTAAGGGCTGTTTTATCCAGGAGGCCAGCAGTCAGGCATCTGGGGGTCTGAGCTTTCAGGATCCACAAGTGCTACAGGGAAATCCTGGGTCCCAAGACCCAGGGGATTTCACCCCTGCCTAAGCTTGCCCATGGTTAGCTCAGGATTTGTGTGTTGAATAGCCTTCAAAGCTGTGTGTCTTGGGCAAGTTACTCAACGTCTCTGTGCCTTAGTTCCCTTTTATATCAAAGGAGGACCATAATAGTCCTTACCCTCTAGGGTTGTCTGTGGATGAAATGAGTTCATTCCACGCATGTAATCATCACTATAAATGTATGGACTTCTACAGTTTGGCCAGAATCACCACCCCACTGCATGTGGAGAAAGGGAACAGCCAGCCTCCAGTGGACTCTGAGTCTCAGTTATCAGAGGCAGCATTGGCTCCCTCCCTTTGTCTGACCCCAAATCCAGTGCGTCAGACCACATTCTTAATTAACATCTTTTATTGATCTTGCAAGAGAAAAAAAATAGAAATTTATTTTAGAGTTAATGCCTGTACAGCTTTTTGTCCCACTCCTAAATTGCACGGTACATACAATTATTATAAACATCAACTGAGATTCCTGGAGCAAGTGTATGTGGTGTTCCTGCAAACTCCCTGACACGTCTGACCTGCACACACGCCTCGGGTGGGGAAGGAAGGCTGGGCTCCCCTTAAAGCTACAGCACTGGTTTTGGTCACTGAAAGCTGGTTCGATTAGCACCCCGGGCTCCTCCAGGCGTCAGCTCTCCTCGGAGCCAGGAGACGCTTGCTACATCTGGGAGGTGAGTGGAGAAGCCGAAAAGCTGGGGGCTCAGAAGCTACAGAAATGATGGATCTTCTCTGGGAGAAACAAATTCTTATCTTCACATCTGCCCCGCTCCAAATGAAAAGCGTATTTGCAAGGCTGCTTGGCTGAAGCTGCAAGGCTCATAAAGCATTTTCCGGGGCTCTCAGTTCCATAGGAACGTTCTTTGAGTACAGTACCACGGTGGGGCTGGGCTGGGCGCCAGGAAAACAGGGGATTAATATTTGGAATGAGAAATTACCCAGCACTGGGAAACCCATTAGGCCCCGGATCTGAGCTTGTTCTACAGATGGAAGTAGATGCGTTCTGGGCTTCACGCGGCAGGGGATGCAAGGCACGTTTCCAACTTGCTGGGAAGCTGCTGGAAGAGGGAGAAGGGGTGGGGGCCAGACTCCCAGGGCACACAGCAAGCTAGAAAAGCCTGGATCAGCCCGAAGGGACGCTGCAGGGAGTATAGTGCGGGCCACTGCCCTCCAGACTAGGTCAGGTGGGAAGGGGAGGTTGGCTGTGGCACTGGTCCTCTGTCCCCCCAGCCCTGCATCCAGAGGGCATCTGGATGGGCCCTCCTGGCCCTCTGGGGTCTGAAGCTGCCCACCTATCCTATCTGGGCCTGGCCGTACCTCAGAGACGGGCGCCCACATGCGCGGGTGGGGCCAGCTCTGAGCAGCGGGTGGTTCAGCTGCCTCTGCTCCTCAGCGGGACACATGCCCTTGACCGAGTCCTTCTCAGGCTTGACCAGAGGACGGAGGCCCTGCAGGACTAATGCCCCTGAGGGGATCCCTCCTTCTCAACTGGGCCTGGGCGGGACCCCGGATGAGGGAGGGGGTTGTAGCCTGGTCAGACATCTGTGGATCCAGTGGAAAATCCACCCTCTCAGCCAGCTGCACCCGCCCCCAGGTGAGGCAGGGATGTGGTGGTGAGGGTGGTGGTGGTGGGGGGTGCTGGCGCTTCAGCTTGGGCCTCTGAAGGCAGGGTCTCATGCCTACTGGTGTGGGTGTTTGAGGCCTGGTCTCCTCCCACCCTGTTCAGCCATGCTCCAGGCTCTGGGAAGGCTGACGGGGCACTCCCAGTCCACCTCACTGTCTGCCTGGAGTCAGACCCAGCCCAAGGGCCCCATGACAGGCCTGACCGGATGTGGGCCCTGCTTTGCTGGATCTCACCAGAGAGGCACTGAGCCAGGTGTTCCCCCGGGCCCCCTGCAGTGGCCCCAGAACTGCAGGGGACAGTGGAAGTCCACACTACATCCCTTCCTCCTCCTGCCTGAAACTCTGGCATTTCCCAGGGCTGTCCCCCTGTGAGTCCTTTCTCCCCACCAATCCCCCTCCACGCTGCCATTCCCATCCTGCCCCTGGGGTGTGGGCTGCTGACACGGAGGCCTGAGGGCGGGGGACATGGGTGCCAAGTGGGGGCCAGTGGCGGAGCCCCACCCTGACTGAGGACCAGCTCCTTCTCCTTGGCCAGTCAACACCGCCACCGTCTCGCTGCCTCCTTCTCACTTATGCAGGTTTTGGGGCGCAAGGCTGTCAAAGGAAGAGCACAGAGAAAGCAGTGTTACCGGGTCACCATCCTTGAGGGCTGCCCATGTCCTCGGGGTGGAATCCAGGCTGCCTGGGTTGCCATTCAAGGCCTTGGAGATCCAGCCGCTGGTCGCAGCAGCCTCGGGCTCAGAGCAGGCTTGGCCACACGGGTCCCTCTGCCTGCCCAACCCTGTGCATCTTTTAGGATCCAGCTCAAACATCCCTCTGCCGGGAAGCCCTCGAGCTGCGCAACCTCTCCTGGTTTCCCATGGCCCAGGGCAACCCTTTTGATACTGCACTTCTGCATTTTGCAGGCCCTCTTCCCTCTGTACCCACAAGGCCTGGCTTCCGGGAAGCACACAATGTTGCTCCCTGGGTTCTGCCACCATCAGCCCCTCTGCAGCCCCTGGGCAGGCTTCTGGGTGGAAAAGAGGGGTCTGAGGGCCGGCAGGAGCGAGAGATGGCATGTGAAGCGAGCAGCTCGGTCTCTGTTCCAAGCAGACTCCAACTGGGGGATACTCTGGGCAGAGAAGGAAACTGACCTGGGTCAACTGCACTCTGCTTCCTTTTAGAGTTGGTAATGATTTGGTTTTCATTCATCATCTGGACGTCCTGATCCTCCACCTGATTACTGCAGGGAGGCAGAAGCTGGAAGGTTCAGTCAGGCTCCTGGCCATGTACCCCCGCCATTCACCCCTATTCGGGCTGGTTGGGGAGGTCATGGGCGGCAGGCTTGGGGTGTACCTGATGGCCGTGTGCTTCTCCTGGTGACAGATGTCCGTGTCCTCAGTGAAGAGGATGGTGTGGTAGGGCACCGTGGGCTCACACGTGGGCAGGATGCCCCCAACCAGGTGGCCCACCATAGCCAGGATCCCATTGTACACGAGTAAGTCGTCCACCAGGAGCTAGGACAGACAGAGGAGGGGCTGCGGCATGTGGTCCCATCCCCCGCCCTCCTTCCTACATGTGACCTCAGGCAAAGTGCATCACTGCTCAGAACCTGGCTGACTAGGTGCCTGGCCTATGTTATGATTTCAAATCTTCACGACGACCGGGAAAGGCACCTGGACTAGCCTCACACTGTAGGTGAGGAGACTGGGGTCACAGGGCTCCAATGCCTTTGGCCCACGTGGCAGACTGGGAGGCAAACTCAGGTCTCTGGTCCCCCAGGGCCCCCTCTCTCCCTGCCCCTGAGTCACCTCCCGGCTCGAAGAACTCCCTAAACCAGTATGATTTGAGAAGAAAAGCCACTTTCTGTTTTTTTCGGGATGATGATTCAAATCATTCGGTGGAGGTTTTGAATTCACGGTTGGATGGCAAATTTCCCTGCCTCTGAGGACTAGGCATGTGTGTCTAAGGTCGCAGCAGAGAGAAGTACATCAAACTGTGACAAATGATAATTGCCGGCAGCCTAATTACCAACAAGCATAATTATCTCAAAAAATGCAGCTAATAAGTACTTACGCCAAACTCCTTCACCCCTCGATGGGGTGTTTTCGCGTAATTCCACAGTTTGATCATTGACACCGTAGTGGGCAGATCGAATATCACATAAACCCGGTTCACCTGTCAGAGCGAAGAACTAATTAAAACAGGCATGTTTGGAAACAGAGGCACTGTGCTGGGCCGGGGTGAGCCCGGTGGGCATCACAGGTGGCGCCTGCCCGCCGGCCAGCCCGGGCTGCTGGGGGCCGCGATGCGGGCGGGTGGAGGGGGTTCCCGCCGGCTTTCATCTCCTTGAAGCCCATCTTGAGTCAGGTCACGTGTGGCTGCGTTTGCAGCAAACCCGCTGAGCTGGCTGTTGAAGGGCCTGTTTTCTGGGCCTGGCGTGGCCCCCCTTCAAATGCCCGCCGAGAATTGAGTGCGCCCTTCCCTGTCGCCCAGGTCAGGCCCAGAAACACAGTCTGGGGCTCCAGGGGCCAAGAGGACAGTCCTCAATTCCAGAGTCAAGAGGCACTGCCTCCTGGCAATCAGCACAGCCTTGACCCCTGTTTGTCCTTTCCCTGAATCATAAATGAAAAGCACAGCGACTGGTCTTGGAGGCACCGCTGGGTAATTTTCAGTGTATGTCTTTGAACTTCTGCTGGGGAAATGGGAGGGGATGGTCCTGATTAGTGGCAGAATCAGCTAGTAAAGTGGGACCCCAAAGCCTCCAACAGCTCCCCATCCCCAACAAAGAATCAAATATTAGGGGGCCCCTTGCAAGAGAGAATCAAGCAAAAAGAATTCAGTGTTGGTCACAGGCTGCAGGCTTAGTTTTGCCCGGGGCCCTGGATCTCAGCCTGTGGCCATCTTTAGAACACCCGAGGAGGGCCTAGTGGGTATGGGAGGCGTCAGCCTTCTGCTTGTACCAAGGAAATAAGAAGGTCTAGTCGAGGGTTCTCAAACTCGGTTGCCCACAGGGTTCAACCCGACACAAATGTTTGAGTCCTGCCAGGAGGAGAGGGACAGATGGAGAAACTGCCCCACACCTAAGGGTGCTCAGGTCAGAGATGATGGCAAGTGCCAGCTGGCCAAGGTCAAGATGGCAGCAGGCTGGACTGGCTAGGGGGCCACCAGTTGGCAGCCCCAGGTCTGAGGGCTGACAGATCTCTGTGTTTCCCCTTTGCAGTGGTGGGGCTGGGGCTGAGGGGTTAACCTCTGCTCAAGGGAGACTAATGGACCACTGCAGGGGTGCTGCCCCTTCCCATGAGTGTTTTGAGAGGAAAATGTACCCCCTTACCCTCCTGCCCAATCACATGGAGTGGAAAAGGGGGCGCCTCAGTGGTCACCCAGGTGGATGCCCCGGCCCCAGCTGCACATCTATCTGGGCATCTGGCCCCATGGGTGCTAACCCACCCCTCCCGCCTCCTGGCCTCTTGCCTCCCTCTCTACCACCAGGCACCAGTGGACAAAGGCCCACCCCTAGGTTCGCCATCAGGCCTTGAATCAAAACATAAGCAGGACCAGTTGTAGAGTGTGAGATCTGGGAGACTGAGTCCGTTGGCTGGAAGAGCTTAGGCAGCTCTGAGGCCAGAGAGAGAGCACAGTTGGGGTCAAGGGCCCAGGGACATAAGAAAGGAGCAGAGGCAGTGAATGTGGAAAGGCCAGGAATGGGAGAAGGAGGACAGAGTGAACTCTGCAGAGAGCAGCAGAAGCAGAAAAGAGAACCAGAGAGGGATGTCTGCAGCGATAGATGGATGCCCAGTCCCCCAGGCCTGCTGCACTGGGCCTCTGGTCTCAGTCCCATGTAGCCCTTTATTCCCCTGGTGTCGCCTTATCACAAGCAACCCCAGAGCAAAGGATAAGAGCCCCAGCCCTGAAGAGCCACCCCATCAGATGTGTTAGCAAAGACCCACCATCCTGGAAGCCCCTGGGCACTTTGATTTGTTCTAGATTAACCTGGCCGGGAAGAAAGGTGTGTCATCGAGGCCGGGGACAGAAAGCCCTCCCCACCCGCCACCCCAGGACGGGGAGCCTCCAGAACCTACCAGACCGGGCAGGATGGGGGCCAGCCACATGTGCCTGCCGTCATCTGTGTCGTTCACTTGGTCGATGAGCTTGTCGGGGGTCCGGACGTCTCCACACACGCCCTCTAGGGAGTTGACGCTGTCAGGGAAGGCGGCGATATCTGAGGACGCCGCTAAGTTGTCATAACCCAAAGCAGCATGCTTGGCACCGCAGGCCACTCTCCTGGCCACCAGCCCCTATCACGCTGACTGTGTGGCTCGGGGGACACTGGGGCTGGCGGGCAGAGCGGCTGTCTGTTGCTCTGAGCAGCTGGAGGAGTGACAGCCAAATTCGACATGTTCTGGGGAAAATGAGAGCTTGGAAGTCGAAGGCAGCAGGGGGTGAGAGTGGAGGGGTGGCCAGTTTCGAGGAAAGCGGGGGAAACCAAGCAGAGAGCAGGCTGAAAACAGATGGGTTTCATGGAACTGCTGGAGGTAGGAATAAAAAGTGTTGCTACTGCTTTGGAGAGTGGAGGGCAGAACTCGGAGAAGAAGGTTTTCCTTTGCGAGGGGATGGGGTCATGGCTGGATTCTGCCTTGGCGTGTTAGGACCCTACTGATACTGGAAGGATGGGGGAGACTGGCCCAGCAATTGCTACTCAACTGACAGGCATTAATGTGGATCTAGAGGAACTGGTTTCAGCTCCGGCTCTGCCATTCTGACCTATGAGATTTGGGGCCAGTCACGGGACATCCTGGGGCCTGTTTCCTCATCTGTAAAATGGAAATACACATCTCTATGTCCCAGAATTGATACGAAGATCTCAGAGGACACTGGATGTGAGAGTGTTCGGGTAAAACTGATGAAGCCTTATACATCCTTATACAAGGAGTCACAAATAATGATCCAAACTACCCAGAATCCTTTATCCCAGGTGAGGAGGATGGTGTCACCAGACAAAGGCAGAAAAGGATTCAGCTGGAACCCAGGGACCCCAAGGAGATACAAGACAGGCCTTGGGGTTGGACCTGCTCTGGCAGCTCCCTAACTGGTGTGTCAGGAATCACAGATCAAGCACCTAGAGGGGTCAGGCAGGTTAAGTCAAAGAGAGGCAGGACAGCCCCGTGGTCAAGAGCATGGTTTTTGGAGCCAGACTCCCAGCTCTACCACTCACTGGCTGTGCAACCTTAGGTAAGTTACTCAACCTTTCTGTGTCTCGGTTCCTCACCTATAAAAGGAGGCTAACAACACTCACTTCCCAAGGTTGTTGGGAGGGCGAATGAGGCACTTGGGACAAGCCCTCTAACAGAGTGAGCCTCAGTGAATATTAACACTGTGTTTCTGGAGCCTGGGAGATAACAGAGAGGAGGGGGCACTGAGATAACTAGTGGGATGCGCTTGGGGAAAAAGGGCAGTGGATACTCAGGTCCAGCCACTGTCACTATGAAGTGCACTGCCAATTTCTCAAGAGAAGCTGAAGATCGGGATTTTCATTGGAAACCTCCTGATTTTTAAACAGTATTAGCCACTAACTCAAAATATTTAAAAACTCACTGGGCTCACAGTTTGCAAATTTTGCTGTTGGTCTGTGAACAAAGTGTTCCATGGTCAATACATTCAGGATGCACTGGGTTGAACACAGTGCAACAGATTGCTCCCTGCAGGCCTTGTCAGAGCCTTTAGAACTCTGAGTGTCTGTGGTTTTCTGCAGTTGGCAGCCCCTCCCAAATCCCTGGGCCGCAGGACTCTTTATTTTATGGCTGTCTTGGCAGGCATGCCTGAGAGCTGCTCTGTTTTGCAAAGGTCACATCTGACCATAAATAGAGCTCAGTGGCATCTTTAATCTCTTGGGGCTGGTTCCTACAGGGATATTTCCCTCTATATTAAAAAAAATTCTGCTCCTTTCCCTGACCCTCCCAAGCTCCCTGCAGTCTGGGTGGAACTAGAAAGGATACTGTTTTCCGACAGACGGATTTTCTCTCCCCGCTCATCATACAGCTCCAGGCCGGTCAGACCGATGTAATAGGGGTCACCCCAGCTGGTCAGGAGCTGAAACTGGAAAATGACTGGAACATATGATTAAGGAAAAACAGGCTTAATTTTCTGGAGAATAAAGGAAAACAATCACAAGGATAACAAGGACATATATAGTTTTTTGGTTTATGGAGATGAACAAGAGAAAAAAAGATTTTTGTTTTCTTTGAGACTGCAGTTTAATCAGGATGTATGTGGAATCAGATTTTCTTTAATTTAAACTGCATATGGATGTGTGTATGTGTTTTAAGAATTCAAAAGCCTCCGCCAGGCCCCAGGAGACAGGAGGATGGGGGCAGGGTGGGGTGCTCTCCAGGGAGCACGAAGAATGGAAGCATTTTGTCACAAACTCAGTATATGGTGCCCAACAGTGACTGGACCTCAAAGGGTCTCATGTCTCAGTTTCCCTGGTTGTAAAATGACAAGAACAGAGTGCCTGTTCCCTCCTCTGCCCATGTCAAGTGTGCAGAGGATGAGTGGGGAGAGGGGATGCGGGAGCATCGCATCGTTGGGAGGATAGGCTGAGGCAGGGTGACCCCCTTTGCTGACTGAGTCCCACAAACACAACCGGGCATCCAGCCCTTTCCCAGCCCTGTCCCCTACTGGCTCCCAGCATTCCCAGGAGCAGGCAGGCCAGCAAGCCTGACAAGTAGTAGCACTACGTGGCCTAGCAAGTTACTTAACCTCTCTGGGCCTCAGCTTTCTCAACTGTGAAATGGGGATGCTAGCAGTACCCACCTCACAGGGCTAATACAGTGGGATCATACAGGCAACCCACTGCGAACAGTGCCAAGTGGCAGTAGGAGTCCAGCAGATTTGAGCTATCATTCTTTCTCTCTTTACCTCCTCCCTGCCTGGTTCCCAGGACAGCGCCCAGCCTAGTCCCCCAGGTTGGTCCCAGCCTCTCTGGCCCCTCCCAGCTAGAGTCCTTGGTGCTGCCTCCTACGACCTCAACCCCCTGGGGGCAGGGCCTGGAACTCGTGTTGCTGCCCCAGTCCCAGCAGCACCCAGTGTCCCCGAGGACCTGGGAGCCCGCCCATCCTTTCCTCAGTCTCTCTGCGTGGGGCTCCAGCTGCCTTGGCTGTGGCCTGCCTGAAACTCCGGACAGCAGCTGGGGCCCAGACCCCACCTCAGGGCCCGCAAGGTGGCTGCCAGGGCCCGGCCCTCTCCCAGGGTTCTGGGCGTGGCCCCAGTGGGACTGGGATGGGTGGGCGGGAGGAGGAGGATACAGCCGCAAGGCATCAGGGGCGCCTCGTAGTCCATGCTTGCCCGCTCCAGGCTCTTCGTGTCCAGTCTGAAAAAACACAAAACGGCACCAGGAAGCAGAGGGTGGCGATGGCCTGAGTCGCTGGTCAGTTACTCCCCCGGGGAGGTAGTGGGGGAAGGACAGACAAGCTTCTGGTCACGTGGAGTCCCATCTACTAAGGGAGGCTCGTCACCTCAGGTTTGACTGAGATGGACTCTTCCATTCCTCTAAACAGCCCTGGGAGGTCGGTACTCTTACATCCCTGGGTGGTGGGTGAAGAAACTGGAGCACAGAGAAGTGAAGTCACTTGCTCCAGTTCACAGAGCTGGGAAGTGGCAGAAGTGGGAAGTGACCGGAGGTTGTCTGGTTCAGGGGTCCACTCTCTTAACCTCCCCCTCTACTTCAGCCCCTCCCTGAACAAGGTAACTACACACTGTGCTGAGAGCTGAGTGAGGCCCATGATGGGCCGGCGGGGTGGTGTGCTGGGAGGGGGCAGCCTCTCCCAGGTGGATGGTCAGGGAAGCGATGTCTGAGCTGAGGAGGAGGCAGCATGGGAAGAGTCAGAGCTGAGCCTTCCAAACTGAAGAGCATCCAGAGCAAAGGCCCTGAGGTTGGGAGGCGCTGGGCAGGGGTGTTTGCCCCAGAAAACAGCCAGATGGGCTGAAGGGTAGGTTGGGATAGGAGGTGGGCAGGGAGAGGAGGCTGGGAGGTAGGGAGAGCCCTGAAGGCTTTGGCTTCAAGATCCTGAGCAAGCACTTCACTAGCCTGGGCCTCGGTTCCCACATCTGTGAAATGGGCATCATAATACTGGCTTCAAAGGATATTGGAAGGATTCCCTGTAGAGTGAATACAAAGCACCTGGCTCGGAGCAGGCGCAGGAGGAAGCCTCTCTCCTCCAGATTCCTCCCTCGGGGCTTCTCTCCCTGGTCCACAGCCAGCCAGTGCCCTCCAGCCCTGGCTTGGTTTTCTTCACTTTCAAGGGCAATGTTGTAATTAAGTGACTTTTCCCGGCATCTGGCCTAAGACGTGAACCCAGCTACAGTGGAGCGAAACTCATTTTGTTCCGAGAGCTTGGCCTCTGGTATTTGGACATCAGGGGGTTTAAATAAGTAAACCTAACGTGGCATTTACAAATTGTTATGAACTTAATGCAGCTGAGACTGGGGTCAAGAAATCCCAGCGAATCCATGAAACGTTAGGCTCGATTTTTCTCTTTGAATCTTCCTAAACCAGGAAGACAGAAATAAGAGGAGGCAGGCCCTTCCCCGAACTGGCTAGTTGGCATTTCTGGAACCGAGGCAGGCTGCAGCCTCTTTCCCCAGCAGGAAGCGCGACGAAGCATTTAAAATCACAAGCACTCCAGACTGGGAGAAACCCAAACAGCCCCAGACAAGGTGGGTACATCCCACAGGCTTCCGGAGAAGCTTGGCTGAGCTTTACAAAACGGCCAAGTTGAAAAGAAACGCGTTTGATCGTCATTTGAAAACCAGAGCCCTGGGCAAAAGCCAGCGCCCCGCGGGCCAGGGAGTGGGGACCACACACAAGCCGCCTCCCTCACCTCTGGGCTGGCTGGGGCAGCGGTCGGGCCTGCAGGTAGTCCACAAAGAGGATTTCTTGAGCAAAGTCAAAGTGGCAGTTGCCTGGCCCCTTCCGGATGAGGAAGCCCTCGGGAGGGGAGACGCACAAGCCATCCAGGGAGACGTGGACAACTCTGGCCTAACAAGCAAAAGAAATAACATGCATGGAGACAAGAAGCTGGTGTGGGGAGCAGGCTGAGCGCTGACCTGGCTGCTGGCAGCTGGCCGGTACCACAGAGAGCCTTCGCGGAGCCCCCAGGCCTTGCTCTTAGACCAGAACCACCTGGCCGAGGTCCACGTCTCAGTGACGTCCCTACTCCGTGCCAGGCGCTGTGCGGACAGCAAGGGACAAGGCAGGTGAGGCCCCCACCACAGTGGACGTGTAGAGACCTTTCTGGCTCCACTCAGCTGCAGTGACCTGAGACATGGTATCAAGGACATGGACTCAGGTGCTCCGACAACCACCGTGAGTACTGTACAAGTTACCTAACCTCCCTGTGCCTCAACTTCCTCATCTGTTTAATGGGGTCAGGGATGAACTGAGTTCTATAAAGTATCCAGAACAGAACAGTGCCTGGCACAAAGTCAGTGATCCTTCGCCAAACCCTGGCTCACACATCGCCTCCTCTCCCAGCACTTGACCCTGGGCAGAAATGGGCCCCTTCCTGATCTTCCTTCTCATAGCCCTTGGCTCATCCTTTTAAGGGCATGTGCTCCCTAGCCGTGTCCTTGGCGGTCTCTGGGCCTTCCTGGATGGCAGAGACCCCAGCTGGAGACCTCAGAGTGTGGCACACACTAGGTGCTTATGGAGAGCTTGCTGAATGGACTCTATTTGGGCCAACGTGTCCCCCTGTTCTAGGCCAGATTTTGTCAGCCAGATGGTTGGAATCTCCCAGTAAATGTCAAAGCCTGGTGGCAGCATCTGAGGTGGCTCAGCTGTTTCCCCGGGTCAGGGGGGTGCTGAGTGAGCAGAGAGGGGCGCTAAGCCAGCACCCTCCCTCTGACCACACATTTGGAATCTCAGCTCTCGGCACCTCCCCCCTCCTCATGGTTAGCAGCTGCTGACCCAACTGGTGGCCTTTCATCCCTGGGAGACACAGAGGCGCTTCTCTGCACAGAAAGGAAGAGGCCCTGTTCTGGGTCTCGTGAATAAATATGTAGCCCCAGGACCCTCCATTCCTTCAGCATTTAGGGCCATCCATGCCCTCCTCCCCCTGCCACCGCCACCACCACCACCAAATCAGTCAGTCAGTCACGGGAAGCATAAACCAAAAAGGTATAGAGGGGCTGACTTCAGGCATGGCTGGATATGGAGATCCACAAGCTCTCATTACACCTCTGCTCTGCTTTCTTCAAGGCTAATTCCTAGCCTGGCCCCAGGGCTGGACCTGTGACCCAGGCCTGGGCAAAAGGAGAACTATAATCCACTGGCCACATGATTGGTTCAGATAATTGGAAGTCGACCAGAACAATCAGCATGGCTCCCGGGGTTCGGCTGACTCGCCTTGAAAGAGGGATTCTCTGTTCTGCTAGACTTGGAGCCCGCAGGACATACGCCACGAGCTGTGGGGGTTTGCCCTGTGGGAAAAGCCACCTGAAGTGAAGCTGGTGCCAGAGCAAAGTAGAGGCCTAGGAGGGCCCTATTGCTCTTCTTGGCTACCACCCCCTCCAGGAAGCGTCCCTGACTTCCCCAGGCTTCTGTTCATTCCCTCAGAGGGGGCTTTTATTATCACCTCCACCTTATAGCTTAGGCAACTGGAATTCAGAGACTAAGCAACTTGCCCAAGGACACGCTGGAGGGATGTGAAGCTCATTTCCCGGAGTGCCAGGCCTTGCTCTAACCACATGCCAGGGGCTGGTAGCCAGGTGCCCAGAAGCACACCGTCGGGTAGGCATGCGATGCACTTTCCTGGGGAGGGAGAGGCCAGAGTTTCCATCACACTGCACCCTGGGATCTGCCCTCTCAGACTGTGCCCATCTCCCCATCTCCCCAGTCCATGGTGGCCACCCATCACCGGCACCAAGGCTGGTGGGGACCAGACCCGGGAAGCAGGGGCTCTTGGGCCCAACATTTCGGGCTGTAAATCCAGGTCATGGAAGCTCAACTGGAAAGACTGATTCACTCAGGGGAAGGGAAAGGCCCAGAGGCACGAGCTGAGGCAGAAGAATGTTTTTTTAACGCCAATAGAGCTGACATTTTACACTCGTTCAGCCAGAGAGCGTGCTTACAAAGACACCAGGGCGGCCTGGGGGAGGATTTGTAAACTGCATGCTCAGAGGAGCCTTTGCTCTTGAAGGGGAGGGCCTGAGGGTGGGGGGCTGCTCACGGCTGTGATAAATCACCAGAGACTTAAGGCCCCCGAAGAAACTCTGCATGGTGCTTGGTGAGGAGCCCAGACCCGGGCTTACAGCGCTGGAGGCTGGGTCCCGGCTTTGTCACCTTGCAGGGGGCAGAGGGTGATGACTGCCCTCCCAAGGGAGGTGTCCCCCTCCTCCTCCTCTTACAGATGAGGAAACTGAGGCCCAGGGAAGGCAGGCCACTTACCAGGGGTCACACAGCTGGTAAAGGGTCAGAGTGGGGGATTCAGACTTGGAGCCTTGTGACTTTAGGGCCCTGACTGCATTGCTGTATTTTAGGTGACCTTGTCATGATCACTTCCCTTTTGTGGGAAGGGACAGAAAAGCCCATGAAAGGAGCACTTCTGAGGCCATTTTCCACATCCCAACAGGGGCCCCTGGTTTTTCACATCCAGCAGAACACTGGAATTTAGAGTGTGGGCTCCCAGCCCGGCAGACACGGACTAGGGCTTGAGCTGTGTGACCTTGGGCGAGTGACTGGACCTTTCTGAACCTCAGTTTTTAATACCCTGAAAGCTGGGGGGTAATAACACCTGCCTCCCAGGGGCTGGGATGTAGGTGTAATAAAATGACAAATGCACGAGGAGCCCTCAGCCCAGGCCTGGCCCCTCAGTGAATAACAGGGCTGTAACCAATCAACCACTGCGAGCTGGGGGCCTGCTGAGGACCCCTGAATCCCCCCGAAGAGATAAGGGGCTGCAGTTTCCCAAGTCTGCCCCAGCTCTTTAGCCGGCATTTGCTGTTTGCAGGAGAAGGAAATGGCAGTGGCTCTCTCTCCCTGGCTGCACCCACCCCCGGCTCCATTTGGAAAGTTCTGGAGGATTTATGCTCCTCTCCGTCAGCCACGCCAGCCATTCATCAAGGCGCTGTTTCCCTGACAGTGGACGGAGCGCGGCCGCTGTTCCCCGGCTTACCCCTCGGTAGGTGTCCTCGGGAGATTTATTGTAGTTCCAGAAGCGCAGGCCTGCGATGCTTTCGGCTCTGTCGAAGCGGATCGTGACCACGTGGTCCAGCCCCGGTGAGAAGGGGATCAGCCACATATGCTCATCCTCCATCGTGATGTTGGCTCCATCAATAAGCCTGCAAGTGGCGGGGAAGGAGTGGAGAGAAGGGGGCAGCCGGGTCCGCTGGGAGAAATCACAGCGTGGGGTGTACGCCCACTCCTCTCCCCACTGGGGCCCCTGCCTGGCAGGAGCCTGGCTGGACCCGGCTCATTAAGGGGAGGTGAGACTAATTAAAGAAACAGCGAGGTGTCATCTCTCATCTGTGAAGTCAGACAAAATAGGAAAACAGGAAAAAGTAACAGTCTGTGCTGTTAAAGGTACAATGAAGCAATCATCATGGTTTTTAAACTGGGGTTTGGGGGGGTAGGTCACTTTTCAGGACCCTTTAACTCAGTGATCCCATTTCTGGAATTTTTTTCTCCTGAAGGAAAATGTATTCAACATGTTGAAAAGCTATCTGTACCAAGATACTACTTATATTAGCAACAAACAAAAAAAACCCTAAAAGTTCTCAAAATAGGGAAAAGTAAACCTGGACAGTAGTTGAAATGATAGTCATGAGGACGATGCCATAACAGGGAAAAGGCAGGCTGTGAGATGTCAGGGGCACTGATTTTAATGCTGTAAAATGAGGACAAGGACCAGGAGAGATTTTGCAAAAATGAAAAACAGATTTCCGTCAGAGGGGATGGGAGGTGACTATTTCTATTTCCCCAGCTTTCAGTGAAATGCTGTATCGACTCTCTGGTACATTTTGAAATAATTCTATTCCTTCTTTCTTATACTGGGGGAGAAAAATACTAAAGCCAGGGTGAACTTGGCAGCTCCCGGTGTGGGACAAGTACAAGAAGGGGCAGGTGCCTCTGTCTGGCCTGTCATCACATAGCCTGGGTATCCCAGGGCAGCCCCCCACCCCTGGGAGGGAGCCCCCAGCACCCTCATGTTCTTCTCAGCCACTGTTCTGACCTTGCCCGCACTGCGCTCCCATGCTGGTCAGTTTCTGGTTCTCCTGCTCCAGACATCCTTCCTCACCCTTCCCAGCCCTGCCCAGCACACTTCAGCTCAGACCCCAGCCCTGGTCTCATGACCACTGAGAGGCCTAGCTCCAGAGACAGGGGCCCAACTCTCAGCCTCCTGGGCGACCCCCTCCCTTCTCGCTCTCCTTTTTCTGGAGACTTTGAAGCTGCCGTACTGGGAGGGACATAGGCTGCTGCTGTGTTTCCTAGATTTTAAAATAAACTTTATTTTTCCTTTTACATTTTAAAGTTTTGGACTTGGAATAAATCTTACAATCAAAGTGTTCATCTAAGGAGGTAATGTTTCTTTTTTTTTTTCCTCCAAAAGGCTGTTATTAAATTGATGGATGGTGTGTCTTACAATTGCTGGCATCTTAAAACTGAGGAAATTCAGCAATTTAACCCTGGGGTGTTTGTGGATTAAGCTGACTGAGGTCTGGCACTAAAGAACCTTCTATTTCCTTCCAAAAGCAATTACCTCTCTGTCCTAGAAATGGGGCCACCTCCATAGCAAGACTACAACCCAATTCTGAGAGTGGAGAGAATTGTTGGAAGTGTTTTAGCTGACAGTGAAGAGAGGTCCCTACAGACACACTCAAGAATATCTAAACGATACTTCTTAGCTTTGTCTGCAAAAAAGCCTGGACACAAGGATCAACTCAGCAGCCATAAGCATCCCTAGTGGTTAGACTATGGTCTCTAAATACCATTTCCCACTAGAGAGAACCTGGGCTTCTTCCATGCCTGGGACAAGAAACATACAAGAGGAGCCTGGAATACCTTGTCACATCAGAAAGGAAAGCAAGGAAGCTGTCAGAGACTACTGTTTACAAAAGATATTCAGGAGTTCCAAAGAAGGAATGATCTGAGCATCAATAGGATAAAAACTGTGATCAATTGAAACCCTTCAAACACAGTGGTGTTAAATCCATGAGTTCATGGTAGTCAAAAGCAAAGAAATGTTTTAAAGGATGCTAGAGAAACAGTTTGCTCTTTTGAAAACTGAAAAATAAAAGGAAAGAATCAAACATTTAGATGGCCTTCCCTGTTTGAATTGCTCCTCAAAGTAACCAAATAATTGAGGGGAAATTTTCTCCTTATTGATAAAAAAAGAGTGTTAGGATCAGTGTATCACCATTCCACAACCCCTAACACATAAAGAGATCTAACCACTAAGTGTTGGCCGCCAACGCCACCAAGAGCCTGACAAGCAGTGTCCTGAAGGGAACACACAGTGACATCCATGCCCTGACGGTTATGTCCTGCCCTAATGGTCAAACCTCAATCTGATTGGACCGCTAGATCTAGTGAACAATTTACAAGAGATCCAGGGGCCTGAAGAACAGGTTAAACAATACCATAGAGGTGGAACCAGTAAGATCCAGACTCATCCAGGCAAAGAGCCTGGTTTCTTCAACAGATAATTTAAAAGAAAAAAAAAAAAGAAAGAAAAAAGATGGAAGGGAACCTCGGGATTATGGGAGGCTTAAGAGACATATCAACCAATCACAACATACAGAACTTTTCTGGATGTCCATTCAAAGAACAAACTGTTATAAAGGGTGGGGGGGAAGACCGTCGGGGAAATAGAAACACACTAGATACCCAGTAATTTAAGGGATGATTGTTCATTATTTGGGTATAATTATGGTACTAAGATTATGTTTACGTCCTTATTGTTTAGAGATACGTGCTGAAGTACATAGAGATGAAATGCTATCAGCCCTAGGATTTGCTGCAAATGGTGAGTGGTATGGCTGAACCAGCGGGGCCAACCCTGAGCTGATGGTCACTCTTAACAATCGGCAGCCAGGACCACAGGCTCCAAGTCTAAGTGTGCACATTTGGGACTTGCCAAGATGTGGAGTGCCCCTCAGGCAGGTGATGACAGCAGGGCATGAGGGCTGCGGTTAAGGGGCACCTTATAGGAAAGCAGGTAGGAGTCTATCACTGACCCCACGCACGCTCTGGACCAGGCCAGGATTGGGGAGCCAGGGGGCGTGGGGGAGTGGCACAGCTGTGATGTGGAACCCCCTTCCTGCCCTCCAGCCATAGGAATTATCGTCCCCATTCTACTGATAAGGGAGCTGAAGCAGAGGAAGACAGTATCACTTAGCAGTTAAATGCCTGGGTGTTGGCTTCCCGTGGGCCTGCGTTCAAATCACGACTCTGCCACTCAACTAGTCTGGGTGACCTTTGGCCAGTTTTAACCTCTCTGCACCTCAGTTTCCTCATCTGCAGAGTGGGGGCCTCTGAGGGCTGTCTGAGATTTAAATGGATGAATATCTGTAACTGCTAAGCATAGGCCAGTGTCTGGCATTTAATAAGCGCTCAGAAAACGGCAGCTATAATTTCATTTATTACTATGACTACTCCTTGTATTATTGGAGAAGTTAAGAAGTTAAGAAATCAACACTAGCTGGCAAAGCGGAGAGCTGGGATTTGAACTCTCATCCCTCTGACTCCCCTAGACTCTTCTTGTTCACACCTCCAGGCAGGACCCAGGCCCGACAGGTGTCCTGATTCAGGGGAGGGGAGCACCTGTCCTCAGGTTATGGGGCCCCATGGATCGATGCTGGATCTTAGGCTGTCCTATTGTTGACTGGACCCAACCTGGGTTCATGAAATCTGACAAACGCAGAGGAGAGCGCAGCCTGTGCCCCCTGTGGAGACGTTCTCAGTAATCACCTCCAGCCTCAGACAGGCGAAAGCTTTCAGCCCCTGAGAGGTGGGGTCACTCATGCCCAAACACAGAGCCAAAGGCTCGCCAAGCAGCCCTGTGTGCCAGGCCCCACACTAAGCACCATGGAGAAGACACAGAGCACAACTGGGTCTGGAAGCAGGAGAACCTGGCTTCCAATCCTGCCGGCCGCTTCCTGGGCCTCAGTTTCCCTTGACTGTAAAATGGGCAGACCCCAGACCTCATGGGGTGGCTGGGAGGAGATGGAATAGAGGATGCCAGCTGATGTTCAAGTCTGAAATCTACAATGCAGATCGGCTCCCCCGGCCCCGGCTGTCAAGAGCACTGCATTTCTTACAGACACTCACTTGTCCAGGGTCCGGGAGTCGTCGGTATACTCGGGCAGGTCATTTAAGTCTCTGGGGGAGGCGGAGATCTGGTGCAGGCTGATGGGCAGTGCCTGGCCGTCCCTGCCCACCACTTCCAGGCCTGTGAGCCCCAGGTAATGCAGGTCTCCCCAGGAGGCGGTGAAATTTAGCTGGAGGCCTGCAACAGGAAGAAGTGTCCTGTGAACACCAGAGCTTCCGGAGGAAGTACCCAGGATGGAACTGGGAAGAGGAGTGGTCTTCCTGGCATGCTACCGACTAAAACACCCAGACTGAAACGGAAGTGCCTTCGGAGTGCGCTCTGCACCTTTCCTCTGGGTGGCCCTTGGGCCTAGGATCCTGTTGATGCTCAGGAAATATCTGCAGGATGAATGGACTGGTAATGTTTAAACCTGCACACAGCCCTGGGTCCTTTCTCCACTGATCAGTCACATTGCCCACCCCATGCTTAACACCCTCGTGTGGTTTCCCATGCTGCTTGGCCAGCAGGCCTCGTCCATCTGGCTTCTACGTACCTCTCAAACCTCATCTGGCACCTGGGATCCCTAGTTCCACCTAGACTGTCTTTCCATCACTCACATTCACTTTCCTCTCTCCCATCACAGGGCCTTTGCACATGCTGTTTCACCATCTGGAACTCACATGGCCTAGGTTAATTTGTGTTCATCTTTCAGATTCCAGCTTACTTCCTCAGGGAAGCCCTCCCAATTTCTTTGACCACACTGAGCCTCCATTCATAGCCTGCCATGTCACTGTGCATTCTCCCTCCCGTGCCCTGCTCACTACTGTGATCTTGTGACCCTTTGGTAAATGTCCATCTGCCCTGTCGGTTGGTTAACTCCCTGAGGGCAGAACTCCCATCTGTTTTGCTAGATCACTGTGCCCCCAGAGCCTGGCACAGGACCTGCCACACAGTAGGAGCTCAGTACAGACGGAATGATTAAACAAGTAATGAAATGGAGGCTACTGCGTCAGGAAGCCACAATGTCGGAAATGAACATGTTACGTAAATTGGCCACTATCACGAGGATTCACATGGGTTCGGGGTAAAGGAAGTGACCTGTGGTGACACCCTCCATTCTTTTGCCCTTGCTCCACCCCCTACTCCATCAGGGAGCATTTAGAAGTGAACCTCTGTGGTTCTGGGGCAAAACTGCCCAGGTGAGTCATTCATTCACCCAGAAAGCTCAAAGGAACGAATCTCTGTCAGGTGTCTGGCTAGAGTTTCTCTTTCCTTAACGCTCTCCCGTTACAGCAGGGCCAGGACCAAGCCCCACGAACTCTTTATGCTTGGAGAATTGGGGGCCTATTTTCCACTCTTTTAGGTGGCTGTGTTCAAAAGAGTCACACTCGTGGCAACTTCCACGGAATGCCAGCAACACAGTGCTGGGAGAGGGAAGCCTGGATTCACGTGCTCCCACCTGATTTAGCTCAGATGAGGGGGTGGAAGTCCAGGGAGGTCGCAGGATGTCCCATGGCCAGGAAGGGAGGCCAAGCCACATGACCTCCCTGGAGCGTGGCTTCCCCTCCTACACCCCTGCGGTTTCCAAAATACGCTTCCTAACTCAGTCGCAGATCCTTCTGCTCTCCGCTGTGTCGAGTTAACTGTGAGCATCTTAGGGGCAGACGAAACAGATGTGTGACCAGCATGGTCCTGGGCACATCATAGCTTCGCACAGCACCGGCAGCACGTAAAACGGCCACAGATTCCTCCCACCGAGTCCTCGCCTCTTTGCAACGTGACTTTTCCGCTCCTCCCATCCAGACGTGGAGTCCGTTTCTTCACTCCTTGACTCTGGGCCATGTGATTTGCTTTGGCCAATGGGACAGAAGCAAAAGCGAAGCGAGCAGAGGCTGTCAAGCACACATGCCCAAGGAAGGCTGGGGGGTCTGTCCTTTCTTTCTGCACTTGGAGTCTTGCCCTGTGAAGAAGCCAGGCTCCCCCAGTCGCTCAGTCACTCTGGCCAGTAGCCTCTCGATTGCCGGCTGTGTAGGTGAAGACATCCAAGGTCCCTCGGCTACCAGCCCATCTGCCAGGTGACCAGACACACAAGCAGGCCCAGCAGAGGCTGGCCAGGCTCCGATGAAGGATTGCTCAGCTAGGCCACTGAATTATGATGAATCATGATTACTAGCGGTGATGGTAAGACACTAAATTTTGGGTTGGTTTGTTCAGCAGCAAAAGCAAGCTGATACATTCTTTCTCATCATCTTCTCAGAGAGGCCTTGCTTAACCCCCTGAACTCAAACAGCACCCTTCCCTATCCTTCTCTAAACCCTTACTCTGTGTTATTTTTTGTCACCTGACAATAAGTTCTACATTTATTTGTTCATTTGTTTTCCTCAATCTTTCTCACTAAGATGGAAGCTCCCTGAGGGCAGGGGCTCTGTTGGCTGTGTTCACTGCTGTATCCCCAGAGCCTAGAACAGTGTGCCTGAAAGACCAATGGTCAATTAAGGCTTTTTAAAAAAAAATGAATTATTGATTGAAGAGTGTGTTTAGTAGCTACCTGCAGGTAAATGAATCAAAATAAGATCATTGTATTTCGCCAAAATCATAGTCCATGGTAAACAAATATTTATTGCTGCTATGTATCAAGCCTTGTTCTTGGCACTGGAGATCCGAGGGTAAACATCTAACAAAATCTCTAGGTGCTTCCATTGCAGTGAAGACAATGAAGACAATGAACAAACAGATAAAACTGGTAGTTCCACAGAGTGACGAAAACCATGAAAAAAAATGAAAGAGATGAGATGCGGAGTGACTGAGCAGGAGCAGGGCAGGTCAGGGAGGGCCTCTCTGAGGAGGTGACATTTGAGCTGAGCCCTGGGTGATAAGAAGGAGGCCACCATTCTGTAGCATTTCCGGAAGGATGTTCCAGGCTGAGAGGACAGGAAGGGCCAAGGCCCTGGGATGGGAACTTGTCTGACCCCTGGTTGAAACCAAGTGACTGAGGGAGAGGGTGGAGAAAATTGAGATGAGAAGGTTAGGTCATATCATGTCATCAGGCGGGGGCTAGATCATGTCATGAGGTCTAGATCTGACCCTCGGCCATGGGGAGCTTCGGAGGCTTAGATTTGGAAGCAGGGGAGTGACACGATCTGATCTGTGTCTTGGAAAGCTCAC